GCTGCATGTACTCCTCCCATACCCACATCCAACGTCGTTTATAGCAGCCATGTAACTTATACGTCTGCGGTCGTTCGGTACTCGAGTCCCTTGGGCTGACTTACCGATAAAACCAGTGAATGAAGGACCCTGAGCACCTTGATATGGTCATGGCCATTTGCCACCGATCGATTGCCTGCGTCCTGCCATTCCATCTAATCACCTTCCACTCCTCTGAGCCGCTACTGCCCTAATTCTCATGCCTCCCTGGAACGCGACCAAAGCCAAGGTTCGTCGCCGCCGCCTCCCGTCCCGGCGTCCATAACCCCCGCCCAGGTCCAGCTGCGGTACACCTCCCTCCCCTCCCCCCTCCTGTCCCGAAACGCTAAACCCCCCCCCCTCCCCAAGGCTATCCGTGCAGCGCTTGCGCACGCTGCAGGAGAAGAAAGAGGCACAGGCGAAGGCGACACGAAGGGACATCGCGACGCTGCTCGAGCGCGGCAAGCTCGAGACGGCGCGCATCAAGGTCGAGAATAGTATGTCGCCCTGCATGGTGTGGATCATGCCTGCCTCGCTCGTGGATGCAACTGACTTGCACTTGTTCTTGTCTCGCGTGTGTTTTCTTTTGATAGTTATAAATGAGGATATATACCTCGAGCTGCTGGAGTTGCTGGAGCTGTACTCGGAGCTGCTGATCGCGCGGTTCGGGCTGCTCGAGCAGAAGTGCGTCGTGCTACCTTCGTCTGTTATCGCCAGTGCTGACTGGTCAATCACTCATCTCGCATCTCAGCACACCCGAGCCGGACCCAGGCGTGAGCGAAGCCGTGTGCAGCATCATCTACGCGGCGCCCCGGACAGAACTGAAAGGTCTGTTCCTACCTCCACCGTCTCGTCACATGTGCCATGTCTGTATGTACTAACGCCTATACGGCGCTCGCCTGTAGAATTGCACGTACTCCGCGACCTGCTGATGCACAAGTACGGCCGCGAGTTCTCGCTCGGGGTGATGGAGAACCGCGACAACTGCGTCAGCGACCGGGTACGCCGTGCCATCCCATCCGCCGATTTGCTCCTTCTGATAGCCCCCTGCCGTGCGCGCAGGTCCTGCGCAAGATCAACGTGGGCATGCCCCCGCCGGAGCTCGTCGACGCGTATCTCACGGAGATAGCCAAAGGATACGGGCTGAAGTACTCCCCGCGGAATGATGGCGGCGAGGGAGGTGTCCGGGTACGCGCGCTCCCTGCATCTGATTCATCCACCCGCCGTGATTTCCATTCCTAACTGTACGCCAATTTGTTGTAGGAATCGGAGAGCGACGAGGTCGTGGAGGGCGAGGGCGAGGGCGTGAAGACGCCGCCGAAGCTGCCCGAGCTTCCGCTGGAGGAGAAGGACAGCAAACCCGCGCCGGCGGCGGAGAAGCAGAAGCCGCCAGAGGACGACTTTGAGATGCTGAAGAAACGGTTCGAGGCGTTGAAGAAGCGCTGAGTGTCAGTGTTGTTTGGTTGTACGTACTTACATGTGTGTTCGGGCCAGTGTAGGATTTGTTCTCTTTGACGACGACAATGTAATATTGGGATATATCGTTCCGCCTGTGCGAATTCGGGGATGTGAGGCCAGTGCTCGGTCCGCGAAGAGTGAATTTGTACGTCGCTACTGTAGCGCCCCTGCAACCAGCGTAGCCTGGGTGCCCAATCCACTCGTTGTACGGTCGGTGTGGCAGTCCAGAGTTACGTCCCATCAGTCGTGCGCATTTCGCGATTGCTGTCGCATAACACGTCCCGATCTCGGGTGGAGGCTCGTATATCCGCCGGAAACCGTATGTCAGGATGGCCTTGCTGATTACCTTCGGAATAGCTGTACTCCATTTATAGACGATTGAACCTACGCATCGGGTGCCCACGAGGCACCGGGCGCTGCCTTCATCGTCGATTTTATCAGCCGGTGAGTCTTTGTCCTAAGGTTCGTCACTTTGCGCCTGCTGGCTAGGACTCGGACGTCGGAAATGAGACCCACGGAGAAATTTTGTGGATGTAGGTCCACGCTTGGTATACCCCATACCATATCTGACAGCAGGAAGAGTGGTGCGGGAAGTGCCAGCGGGTGGGGTTATCAGATGATTTTGGGACTTCCTTCGGGGCCATAAGTGCAGGCGCGGAACGGAGGGCATCCCGGGCCCGGGGAGGCTCGCGCAGGAGAAGTGAATGCGTGTCACGGGGTCGCTCGTCGCCTGACTACCGCTGGGAGCACGCTTCGAGTCTCGCTGGTGTGGCATGAGGTCGGATACATATATTGGTCCCACAGGTAATTTCGTGTGATGGAAAGCCAATCGGACTAGAAGAATAGAAGGGGCGATTTACACAGCCCAGAAGGTATCAACGACAGATCGTTTCAGGCGGTTGGATCCCTGCAGATGGACTAAGCTACGCAGACGGCTCGGGTTGCGTAATTACATGGCATCACGTTCTGGTTCTCATGCAACGTTCCAAGTTTCAGAACGGCGAGCGTGTACGGCGGCCCGGGGGTTTGGCCGTCCGGGGAAGAGGAACAGCATGGATAATGAGGCGAGGAAACGAACGCCGCCGGTCGGACATGGACACATAAACACAAAAGCTAATGGGAAGTCGGCGGCGGTAGGATCAGGAAACCGAGACGGGGGGCCGGGCCCGCACTACGCCCAACTTCAAGTTGAAGCCACTTCCGAGCGCGATCCCCAGCGGAAGGACGTATGAAAGAACACGTCGACGCAGCACGACCGCCACCCCCGCCTGAAGCGGAAGCTCGACAGCCAAAACGGCCACAAATCGAATATCTCGCGCCCAGATTCCGGCGCGATGGCCAGATCTGCGGCGGATCTCGCCCGTCCCGTTTTGGACGCGTGTTGGCTTCCTTCCTACGATTGCAGCGGACCGACGCGTTCCCCCATCCACTGGCAACCTCCGCCGACCTCCGTCATACCCATTCGAAGCTGCCCAGCGCGTTTATATGCGCGTGCTCCCGCGCCTTTTAGCGTCCCCGCTGCCATGGCTGCCCTGACCGCGACCGCCTCCGCCTCTCGCATGCACCCCGACTTCGAGACCGACGATGAGAGCGACTCCTACTCCAGCGTCGGCGTCGGCTCCTACGCCCCCAGCGCTGGCACCTCCGCCACGTCCTACGACATGGACGTCTCCGTCCGCTCTGCGTCGCCCGCCCCGTCCGTGTGGTCTATCACGAGCTCCATGAGAGAGCGCATCTTCCGCCACGAGTACGGACGAGGCCTGAACAACTACTCGGATGTGTATCGTCTGCCCGCGGACGACGAGGAGCTGGAACGCCTTGGTAAGAGCCAATTCGATCGAACTCTACTCTTGGGCTCATTACTTGGCAGACAAGCAGCACCAGATGTTCATCGAGGTGATGGGCGGCAAGTACCCGCCTCCTATGGACGAAGTGCTGACGGAGGACGGGTCGGGGGAGACAAAGGCTTGTCTCGATCTTGGTTGCGGGTCCGGGTGCTGGTGAGTGAGACCGAGTGTGGCATTGGCGCGCCGCGATGGATCAATAACGTCTTGGCAGGATACGCGACGTTGCGCTGGACTATCCCCATTGCAGCGCCGTTGCCGTGGATCTCGTCCCCATGCAAGCTGCGTGAGTGTCTATTGCCGACTCTCCCGGGCTGCGTCCGTCCTGACAAATTTCTCCGTAGCATGATGCCACCCAATCTCAGGTAACTCTCAGCGGACTATGTCAGACTCTTCTTGCTGACTTTCTGTGTGAAGGAGCGAAGTCGACGACATCAACCTCGGTCTCGAGCACTTCTACGGCCAGTTCGACGTCGTCCACGCTCGCCTCGTCTCGTCCGGCGTGAGTCTCATTTTAGCGTTTCATTAGAAGATCTCCAGCCGGATCGTGCCGGATCTGCGAGATCTCACCTTAGCGATCGACTTACCATATCCGTCCCGATCTAGATCCGTGACTACGCAGGTCTGCTCGACCACACGACCCGCGTCCTGCGCCCCGGCGGCCTGCTCGACCTCTTCGAGTTCGACTTCCGCATCTACGACGAGCACCGCAAGCCCTACGTCTGCAACGCGAACGTCATGCAGCCGCCATGGGCGCCGCTCTTCATGACGATGGTCAACCAGGCCGTGCGTCGTCGTGGCGGACACGTCGACGCCGCGAACCTGCTCGAGCGCTGGGTGCGCGAGCACCGCTGCATGACGGACGTCGTCTACCGCGAGTACTGGATCCCGACGAGCCCGTGGGCGCGCGGGGACGACGAGGACGCGATTCGGCAGCGCGCGTTTGGGGAGGTTATGCGCGACGATATCAAGGTGCGTTGCCTTAGTTCTGTGGAGCTATATTAAGGGGCGCTGAGAAGGTGTTTCGGATGTTCCACTCGACAGGCGTTCATCAAGTCCGCAAGGCCTTTGCTGTTGGGCAGCGGGTTCCCTGAGTATCTGGTCGACCAGGTCAACGCAAGGGCCGAGCGGGAGCTGGACGAGGCCCGGGTGCCGGGGTATATCCTCTGCCAAACCGTGTACGCCCGGAAGGAGCGGGTGTGATTGTCTTTGTTTCTCTCACCTATCATTATTATTCGCACATCACTAATCCACACAAGCACTCACGTACGCATTCATCTTACTGTACCTTATTCGTAATATCTTGTATTGACTCGCTGTCGTGTATCGTTGTCACTTGCTTGCTCACCGCTAACGTACAATCCCCTCTCGCTGAGAGTTAATAGAAAGCTTTTATACAGGAACAGTACGGTGCGATTAATGAGAGACAACCATACGAGGGATTACAAGCATGAACAAAGGTGACGGGTTGCCCAACTCCAGTGAAGGAATGGGACTCTGAATCAGACGGCCCGAGTGACGAACATCGCTGAGGAATGGAATGGGTGGTACTTCCGCATCTCGCCTCCACCGTCCATCGAGCACCTGCTCATCCGTCACCGCGAATCCAACCGAAAGCATAAAATCCACGAAAGAACGCTCTGAAACTCTTCTCTTCTCTATACACTCTCTGCCACCTGATAACGAGTGATGGATGGATTCGCTTACTCCGCAACGACCAAGCCGGCCATGGCGCGCTGCACATCCTTCAGCGTCGAGTCCCCGGCGGTGCCGTTGCCGTTGAGCACGCGCGGGCCGAGGCCGGGGTGCCGGACGCCCATCGCCGCGCCCAGCATGCGCTTCGCGGGGTCGCCGATGCGCGGGGCGCCGCCCAATGCGTCGGCATGCGCGCCCGCCTCGAGGATGGCGGGGTCCGCCGCGGCCATGTGCTCGCCGAGCAGCGCGCTGAGCGTCGGGTGCGTCGGGAGGCTCGGCAGCGTCGGCGAGGGCTCGCGGTCGTTGTTGCCGCTGTTGTTGGCGCGGTGCTTGGGGAGCGAGACGGACGCGGAGGACGCGCGCGCGCCGTGCCCGCGCTGGCTGTTGTGCCGCGCGTTGACGTTCTGGATGATGCTCTGCGCGTCGGGGCCGTCGTACGGCTTGATCGTGACGGGGCTGTCCGAGTTGGGCGGGGCGAGCGAGGCGGGCGGGTGCGCGAGCGTCTGCAGGTACGCGCGCTTGGCTGTGCGATGGTCAGAGATCGGGTGTGCAATGTGCGGAGGGGGCGTGAAGAGAGGGTGACGCCGGGACCTGCCACCGTCACTCACCTACGCCAGGGTCGGCAAAGACGAGGAGCAGGCTCGTGTCGTCCAGCCACTTGATCTTGAAGCCCCCGCCGACGTTCTCCCACTCCGAGAAGGCCGCCTGGATGTCCTTCGTCTTGAGCTCCTTGGGGAAGCCGGAGAGGGAGAGGATGCGCGTGACAGACGCAGAGAGGGCCGTGAGCGACGCCGCCATTATTTCTCTTCTTTGTGCAGTATTAAGCAGGGAGATTCAACGCAAACCGGGTGCGCAAGGATTGAATCGAATGGGGGTTAGGCAGGGCAATAATTACGGCGAGGGTGGTACAGCGGGGCGCAGAAGAGAAGAGCAGGCAGAGGAAGAGAAAGCGAGCGGGATTTTACTGATGGTACAGCGGACGGCGCAGGGAGTTGAGTGCCACGACTTGCAAGGGAGTAGGAGATGGACGTTAGCGAGTCGATAGGGATAGGAAATACTACCCTGCTTTGCGACTGTAAATCACGACGAGCTCCCCCGGCCGGGGCCGGCCGGAGTCCCGCCGACCGCGCAGCCTCTGTCGAACTCGCCGGTCCTGCAGTGGCTTTTACTCCATGGAAAGGTAATACTCTGGCCGGTAGAGGGCATGAGTCCAGTGGCTTGAGGTGTTGGTATTTTACAGACTTTATGTCACTTGTAATGCGAATAATGGCCCGAAGCCACCGACCGGATCGGCCGCCGCCGGGCCCGCGTCTTTCGTGTCAGTGCAATGGGCAGGCGCAGATCGCACTGGGCGCGAATGTAGCACTACGCTCATCCTTCAGCGCTCCTGTACAAGCATGTCGGATGTGGACTTTATGCGCGTCTGGCAGCTCATCCACGAGCTCGCCGAGCAGAACGCCCACAATCAAAAGGTCGCGGCGAACCTCATAGCGCAGGCCAGTGCATTGAAGGTGCGTTCCTGTGGCTGAGAGCAGGAGGGGACGAGTGACAATGGATTCGCGTGTAGAATGAGGCTGCTCAGGCAAATAGTGGGTTCAACCTTCGCAGGGTGAACACAGACATCTCGAAAGGTGCGTAATTCACTGCTGTCCCGGATTCGGTGATTCCTAAGACGCGTTTTGTGACAGAATTCTTCGATTCGGAGCTGGAGCGTCTGAATGCCCAAATTATCATCGAGAACCAGACCCTCTCGCACGAAAACAAGCAGCTTAGCATGCTCCTCAAGGAGTACGAGCAGACCATGGAGACTGTCATGCAGAAATTCCGCGGGCACGCCGTACGTCCCCTCTCCCTCCCCCCTCCCCTTCACCCCCACTGACATTTCACCGCACAGCAAGCCGCGCAGATGCACGAGCTCACCCTCGCGCGGCACTATGAGACCCTCCTCCTCTCGCGCGACTCGCACACGCTGCACGCCGACCTGACCGCGGGCGACGCCGCCACGCACGCGCTCCACCGCCTCGCCGCGTCCCTCCGCGCGCTCATGCGCTCCCTGCACGGCGAGGAGCCCTCCCCGTCGCACAGCCCCAGCCCCGAGTCCAACACCACCTCCGAGCACCCCACCTCCTCCTCCCCGTCCCCATCTTCCTCCTCCCAGTCGCCCTCCTCTTCCTCCCAATCTCAGGAGGATGCCATACCGGACTACAACTGGGCGCTCGAGCGCGAGCTCGAGATCGCGCGGCTGCAGCAGGAAAACGAGGCCCTCCGCCAGCACCTGGGCATCGACGAGCGCGCCGCGGCGGCGCACAACATCCGCGCGGAGGTCGACGACGAGCTCGCGCGGCTCAAAGTCCCCTCGGGCTACTTCCCCCCCGCCCCCGCGCCCTCCCAATCCCAGGGCGGGGGTGCACAAGACATGTTCGCGCCGCGCGCGCCGCACCACGGGTTCGTCGTGCGCGCGGAGGGGCCTGGGCGCGGGGTGGGCGTGCGGCGGCCGGCGATGTTCGGGAGCCAGCGGGGGGGGAGGGGCGGCGGCGCGCCGGGGCTGTGGGGGGATCGCGGGCAGGGCGGGGAGAGGCCTGGGGATTGGACGGCGGGGGCGCCGGAGACGTCGCCTCTGGATTTCCGGTGGTAGCGCTAGCGGAGGTTGAGTTTTTTTGTGTCGTATCTTACTTCGCTGTCGGATGCATCGCTTTCTTTATCGTGATCACGACACTAAGGGCAATCTGCACACCGAGGATTCAGGCGAGGAAGATAGACGCAATACGGATTATGTACTATTTGACGGGGGAAGCAGGCTACTGAGGTGGTATATACAGGATCTAAGTACTATAATGTAACGTATAAGTGCAGCGAACACGAGAGCGACGACGACGAGAGCTAGCTAAGCGATACCGATACAAATTCTACAAGAGCCACCTCGCCCGAACCTACAACCAACCACTGAACCAAAACCTGGCAATAAACTCTAGTCCAACCCCCCCCCCCCCCCAGCACGAATCCTACCCCTCCCACCTTACCTCAACCCTCAACCCGCTCCGCCCCCTTCCCTCCCACGCGATGCCCACCAGCCTCTCCCGTCCACACCCCAAGCTCCCCTCCCTTGCTCGCCCCTCCCACGCGAGGCGCTTCGCGCCGCAGCAGTTCTGCAGCGCCTTCAGCCGGAGGAGGACGGGGTTCGCGATGGGGCGGAGGCGCCACGTCGCGGGGCGGGAGGGCGCGGGCGCGGGGAGGAGCGGGACGAGCGCGTACGGCGCGAACGTGTGCGTGTGCTGGGCGCACGCGGGGGGCGGGGCGGTGAACGCGGACACGTCGGCTGCGCGCGCGCGGTAGCCGTGCGGTCTCGGTCTCGGTCTCGGGTTCGGTGCGTGCACCTCCCCTCCCACCGCCTTCTCGTCCACCACCACCACCACCGCCTTCTCGTCCTCCTTCTCGTGCGCCTCCTCCCTGGGCTCGGGCTCGGGCTCGCGCGCGTCCACCCCCGGGACGGCCACGGAGAACATCACCGCGCTCGCATACGCCTTCTGCAGCCCGCGCGCGACGTCCAGCAGCCTGCTCACGCGCTTCACGATGTTCCCTCCCTCACTCCTGCCCTTCTCCAACTCCCGCGGCTTCGGGCTGTCGATGGGTTGGGCGGGGGCGTCGGGCACGGGCCGCGCGAGCGGCGTGGCGGCGAGCGGGACGCTGGTCAGGTGGTGCGGGCACGCGCGGCGGGATGAGGATGGGGATTTCGGTAGAGAGACGGGCGGCGAGGGCGAAGGGGAGTGGGTCTTGACTGATGCGGAGGCGCTGACGGAGGTGCCAGCTGTACTGACGGAGCTCCTGCTCCCGAACGAGAGCCACGATACCGAGGTCGAGAGCGAGGACGATGATGATGATGAGGAGGAGGAGCACGCGACGCACATCGGGCGCGCGCGGACGCGCACGTCCAGCTGGCGGTCCTCCTCCCTATCTTTGCCCTTCGCGCGCCGGCGCTCGCCGTCCTCCCATTCCACGACTTTCAGCAGACTGTTGAGCAGCACCTGGCGGGAGCGCGGATGGCGGCTGCGGGAAGAGGACAAGGACGAGTAGAGGCGCGCCTCGGCGTCGTCCAGCGGGAAGAGCGAGCCCTGCATGGTCGTGGCGACGAGCTTGAAGGGGACACAGCGCGCGTCGGCTTTAAGGAGGGACTGCTGTGCGCGTGGGGAGCGCGACGGGGGCATCACCGGGACGGCGTACTGGAACTGGGGGCCATGCGACGCAGGCAGGCGCGCTGTGTCTGCCGTGCCGGCCGAGACGCCCCTGGCGCCTCCCGCAAACTCGCTCCCCTCCGCCCGCCTGCGCTTCTCCGCCCTCACCCTCGCGGTGCTGTCCGCCCAGACGCGCTCTGCGCAGCGCATGCGCGCCTCGCGCGCCCTCTCGCGCCTGCACCGCTCCTCGCGGGCTCGGCACGCGCGCACGCGCGCCTCCTCGGCCGCCTCGAGCTTGAGCAGCCCCGCGGGGGCGAAGACCTCGGTGAGGTCCTCGTCGCGCACGGCGGCGACGCGCGGGTCGTCGAGCGAGCAGACGTCGGCGGCGCCCTTGAGCTTGAGGAAGAGGAGGCGCGCGAGGCGGTGGTCGTCCAAAGCGTAAGCGGTGTGCATCTGGTCTTGGAGGGATTGGGGCGGGGGCGGCGGGGAGTCGTAGTAGGAGAGGTCGGGGGGCGAGGAGGGGCCGGAGCTGGAGGAGGAGGCTGTCGGGGGCGTCCAGGGGGGTGCCATGGTGGATGGACGTGGCGGGGCGGCGGGGGTGGAACGGTAATTAGAGGTGGGATGAGAATAATACGAGTGCTGGTTGGATGGGGCGTAGCAGACGCGGGGTCTGCGGACGGGCGAGACGGCGCAGGACCTGCCGCGGGCGTCGAGGGCGCTGCGCGGCGGGGGCGGGGGCGGGGGCGCAGGGAGGACAGAGAGCATGAGACGATGACGGGGCGGGGTGACGAAAGGACGCAGCGAAGCTGGGACGGGCCTTTTGTGGGATGGCCAGGTGCACGCGGAGGCGCTGATGCAGCAGCCTCGAGGCGCGGGCGTCTATCGTGTTTGCTGGCGAAGCTCAGAGGCTCGCTGTCGGCGTCGGCGTCGAGCGTTGGCTGTTTTCAGCCCCGGCGATCTCCCGCGCTTATCCTCCAATCACACGCACCGAACATTCCACAACCGTCATTTCCCCGCTGCGTCTCAGGCTCATCGCGAGTGTTCGTTGCATGCTCATTTTCCGTCGCGAGGCAAGCCATGACATCAGCCGTGAGTCGTCTCAGCCTGAGCATCACAGCCAGATCCAGACAAACGATTGCACCGATTGGTCTGCGGCTCTCAGATCATATCTATCACTGCGACCCTTGTTGGTCCCAGCCCGGGCTGTAGTATCTACTTGGGTCGAGGTCCGAGCCACGTTCCCGCTAACCACCCCTTCGCAAGCTCTGTGCCTTCGCATCCCCCCGCGAGGCCTGCCGCAATAGGCTGCCTCTACATCCACGCCGCCTATCCTCGACTGCATGAGGCGCTGGATAGCAAGTTTAGCGTTCGCGTTGCTAGACCTTTGCTGTAGGGCTCTGCATGAGGTGATCCCGCGCAGGCGCACACAAGCACAAGCACAAACACATCTGATATTGATCCTCGAATCGATCATAACAAGTGGGACACACACTCGCGGTGATTGGTATCAGGCCTCTTCCTCCTTCAAGCCTCCCTTTGTGAGCTGGCTCGAGATAATCAAACCCAAACCTGATGTTGACTGGGACTCTGAATCCACTCGCTATCCTTGCTTTGTCTTGCTATGCCGCTCATGTGGCCACGTTCTGTCGGACACTCGTCCGGGGATACAGACTATATGCGCAGAACAAAGGACGTCTGGCGCAGCCTCGTGTCCGGAGCCAACAAGCAGTCAGAGCCTCTCCATCTCTAGGTTATTCGCGCAGCGATTCCCTTCTGCGCAGGCTCCGACGCGGATAGGATACGCGTACGTTCGGCCCCGAGCTGGTCGGAGGCATCTCAGCGCGACCCGCATCCAATATCAAGTGCAAGTGCATTGATCCCCGCCCTGGTTGTCTCCGTGCCTCGGTGCCGCGCTGTCAATGTCGCGCCAGTTCTCAGTTCTCAAGCCTGTCTGCGCGATGTCTGCGTGTACAAAAGTCGAAGTTTGGATTATGCAGCAAGATTCTCCCTAACGCAGGAGGTCCTGTCTAGGTTCTCTCAAGTCGGTGGCACTTTTCACACCTACGAGAGCATCCAGCCAGGATCAGGTCTCCCCCCGCGCGAGAGTGAGTACCGGAGGCAAATACGACAACGGTTTAGCCTCCGAATATCGCGGCACTTGCCGTTTGCCAGTGAACCCGGGACGTCTGGTGCAACTCTCGCCAGCATATAGCGACGGCTCTAGCCCGGTATGGGTTTAAGTTCAGATACCCTCGCCATAAACTCGCCCGAATACGACCCATGTCCCCAAATTCTGTTCGGGATCCCATGGGTTGTGCCTATGGCCGGCATCCTATGAATCTCTTTGATGAACGGGTGCCATTCATGCGAATGCGGGCTTGACCACGGAGTGGCCGCAACCGCGTATCGACTTCCGGCGTGCCCTCAGGCCTCGGGCTTGAGTCTACGGGAACATATGCACCATGCATCCCGTCTCGGGGGGGAGCGGAGCGGATGTGCTACCTCCAAAGTTCATACACTCGAGACCGCGACACGGGTGCGCCCCGGCATCCCGCTTCCAAGTTCTCAGCCCATCCCTTCCCGGGTTTCCAGTTCGTGACTGGAACGAGATACCCGGCGGCCCCGGTCCTGCTTCGAGTTACATACATACTTGCGCCTCAAGAGTCGACATCCCACGCACGCCGGACCCATGGTTGATCCGCTCCCCAGTTCCCAACATCCATGGCCAGTTCCCGCACCGTACGCACGCACGCCGCGTATATGTTTGGCGGCGAGTGAACGGGGCTTGGTGTTGGGAACTGGGTTGTCAGCTTGGTGATCTCGAAGGGGGCGGGTCTTCCCGGAACGTCCGTAAACTCAAGTGATAGTATATGGCAGCTGCCGCGCTTTCGTTCTCCGCGACGTTGGGCTTATCATAAACCAAGCTCAATCCGTGCAAGGGGGGGCTAAGGATACGGCAGGAAATCGCTCATTAATGAACCTGGCTGCGGTCGCGCCCTGCTCCAAGAGCGACAACCAACATGCAACGCACGCCGGGCCCAGGGTTGATCCGCTCTCTAATTCCCAGCTCCATCCTCTCGGTGATGTCCCGCAGCTCTCGGATTCGGGATATGTACCGCCTCTGGGTAAGCAGGCCGCGTATATGGTTGATGGAGAGTGAACGGGGCTGGCTTGTGAGAATGCCGATGGACGTCGTTCTTCGCGGTCTCGTCTTCCCTGCGATGTCCTTGAAATGGCTCTCGTCGACTCGGACTCTCAGCGGGTTTGGCTCCCTGGTACCGGCCCTATCAATGATTGTGGCGTCAACCTCCAGCGGCGGAACCTCCATGGGAATGAAGCATGTGGTCCCCGGCCTCTTCCCTTCTCCGCGATATTGCGGACCGCCGAAGCCAGGGAAGCGATACTAAAGATATGACTGAAGCGTATCCCCGGTGGGAGCCGTTCATAATGAAGCTCGCTCATCCCTTTGGCTTCGTGCATAGAAGGTCTATTAGATATCCTGTGCATGAGAAGTTCCGGGTTGCGGCCAATAGTGCACTCAGCATCCGATGCTCAGGCTTGGGCATGTATCATTGCAACATATTGCATTGGCCTGGTCAATCATACATGGTTCAGGCTCAACTGGCGGCAATCCTACTAGCATGTGAGAAAGTCTACACTACACATGGCGCGGCCAAGGTCCTTCTCCTTCTCCGCGACGTTCAACCCCATCCCAGGGAAAGAGCCGCTAAAGATACGACGGATTCCTGTCCTAAACATTCAAGTGTAATTCCGGTGAGAGCCGCTCATAATGACCTTGTTCCGTTCATATCCTCGGAATGTTGCTTACGACTCTGTCTGGGTATCACTCAGCCTAAAATTGCCGGGTTGCGAGCGCATCGAACGGCGCGCAATTTTGAGCGGATCCTGAGTGTCGCTGGACGAGCGTGAGCAGCGGGCCATGTAATGTGGACGTTTCGAATGCCCCGTCACGTTCGTCCTGCTTCCACTTTGTGACGATCTGCGAGCAGGACGTCCCGCCGGGAGGTTGACTTCCATGAGTCTATGTATATTACACCGCACTTGCGGGATTTACTTCGTAGGTGTAAGCTCGTTATCACCGTTCGCGTATTCTTTGGGCTAGGTTGGATCGCAAACTCAAATTTAGCACAGAAATGTTATCGACCGCGATGCGACGGCGATCAACGTTCCAGCTCGTCCGTCCTCATACACACATGCTCTGTCAGTGCCCCTCATCGCGAAACCGTTGATCATGAGCAGTGCCATCTGCCCGCTATAACCGCCCCGGCTTCGAATGGAACGGTTATTTCAGGCTTATCTGCCGCGCTGCTCTTCGGCGGCTCAACGCTGGTACTTACTGTGCGCTGCTGCGTCTTGGATCGGCGGTAACGAGTGCTAGGCGTATCTGTAGAGGCCTATTCATATTCCTCCCTATCTCTGTTCTCCAAGCTCAGACCCGGAGAACGAGGATCTGTCGTTCCGTGGCATATCCCTGCGCTGACCACCCGCCGGCAAGTTCGAGTTGATATATGCGAACTGTCGGCATCGAGCATAAGCTCTAGGTTGGCGCCCGAATGAGACTTGGGCCCAGTGCCCTGGCTTCAGAGCGCGTCCAAAGATGCACTGGCATCGCGAATCAACAAGTCGCAAGATCCGGTGAACTGTAAGTTTATGCTTCCTGGTATCTGTTTCATTATAGCGCTCCTCACGCTTCAGGAACGGGTGCTTATTTTCGGATGGCGTCATGAGGCTACCGGCCGTGTTCTGACGGATACTACTATGTAGGCTCACAAATGTGTGTATGCGACACCGGTGCTGTGTAATACACAGGACAGAACTACAGAACTCGTCGTCCGCTGGTAGGATCACTTGGCCACAATCTCCTGGGACTGCTAGAGGCTGACCACCGGAGACGGGAAAGAGCAGAAGGCCTAAATGACGTCTAGTGCAACGACCGCTTCACGTCATGAGCGCAAAGTTCAGCTATCGATGAAGGTATTCCCTTCACCTTCAAGTCCGTCAGTGGACCGCCCGCTACGGAGTATTCACCAGCTGCCCGACGTCATCGCTTCAATCAATTTACGTGAGTGTTCCTGTAATAATCTCTCTCTGAACATCTGACAAGTGGCTCAGTGCTTCGTGAAGTCATTATGATCGATATAGGAATATTCCCATTCAAACGGTAGTGTGGCCTGGGCTCACAGTATGGCGAACCATAAGTTATCCCTGGCTATCATAGTGAAATGGGGGACGATCTTGGGGTTGGAGTTGGCCCGAGTGCTGAGCTCTTCACCAGCGGGAATGGCTCTGGTATAGTCACCAGCTGGATGGTCATGCTAAACCGCAAGCCACTGATTCGCTCTTCGAATTGCGGATAGGCATAACCACCCCCCCCCCTTTGTTACGCCCTATGCTGATTCCGAGTCACCGACAATACCGAGCGCTTTACTATATCCTCCTAGTGGGCCCCAGAACTTGGCGCGGTCAGACCAGTCAGCAGCCTCATTGGCTATGTGGCCTGATATAACAGAGGCCCGGAGAAACACTAAGCCATGCACGGCTGACTCGCACATCCTCTTGCACGAGGCGGCAAGGTATCATCGATTCTCTGGGGAATCTTGCCACAAGGCTGATTATCGTGCATTCAGCCAACTTTTCAGAGGCACGGCACGGGTCGCGAACCAACGAGATGACAGTACCGGTGACCTCACCATCGGCATGCCATCTCGAATATCCATCGGTGCGTCGAACCGAGTGCCTACTACTCACGCCTTCATGACTGCTCCCGTCTTCATATCGACGGTCGATTTATGTCACGAGGCTACTACACGCATCCACTGAGATTCCAGGGCCAGGTTTGTTATCCCATAGGCGTGCTGCTAGTACGTACATGTCTTGGTACTATGTCATGATGTTGAGCTTGCTGTGTGTCGTCACTGACTGCATGTGGGTCAGCTGAATCGACACCGACATCTGCTCTAGTTCGGATTCATGAAGGGCGTCTGCGATCAGTCACCGGCAGAGCCACACCTCAGAGATCGCGGGAGGTGAAGTCGTGTCTAGAACACCATGTAGGAGGTTCCCCGGGTAATGGCTGTTGTTGTTATTCGGTAAGACCTTAAAGAAGTTCCCCTGACCACGTACTCGTATGGACAAGTTGAGACGTACCCCGCACGCATCCTGTGGGGGTAACACGTAAACAGAGGACTTGTATCTGCAGATGTAAGACTCCCGTCGCTTTAGACTGGAGCAACGTGTTTCTACACGTAGACAGTATGGATTGCGGTCGCGGTCAAACGTACGCGTCATACGCCAGACCCATCCTTCAATACATTCCCGGGTGCGCCAATACATTCGGACCGACAGTTGGTCGAGAAGGACACGCCATTCAAATCCACAACTCTGTACTTCCCCTCGCTCTCCTACACAAGGGAAGAGTCTGGAGAGTCGGAACGCATCCTGCCATCACCCTCGCTTGCTCTGGGTCGGAAGCCCGAGTGCTTCCGCAAACCCAAAACAAGCAGGGGATTCAGGATGCATCGATGAATTCGGATGATGGACACCGTATACCAATTTGCTCGATGCCAAGCTTAGCATATCTTACCAAAATCCTGACAGTCCCTAATTCCTAGGCGAACGCTTCGAGAGGCAGTGTACAGAGGACGACTACATACATCATTAGGGAAGAACTAGCATACGGACCCTCATAAGCACAATACTCAACTTGATTTCACCGCAATTGTAGGCGCAAGTCGCGTCAATACTAGACGAATGATAACGCGGTACAACGATCCCCAAAACCAGGTAGGTTTAACTAAGACCTGGGAGCACTATTGAACTGTAGCACCGGTCGGTGAGACCGTGGACGACCGACTATCTGTATAGGGACACTCACAATATCTCTAAGCTGTGATTGTGCATCATTGAACTGCTTCTCGAGGTATTTCATCTACAGCCGTATTGAGGCCAAGTCATAGAAAAGACCATAACTCGTACCTTCTTGTTCAACCCATTCACATCATCTGTAAGCTCCTTTTCTTGGGATTTCAGGTCCTTCTCCATCTCAGGTCGAGGCACCATGACGAACCTACACATTGTAATCCCGTTTAACAGAGGCAGCCCAATTAGACCGTACCGAATACATCACACTCACATCTTCCCGACACCTTTATACATATTGGTGTTTGGCTCCATATGGCTGATCTCATCGATCGTGAGTTGCAAAATACGGCGCTCGCGTTCCTTCGCGGCAGTCTGCTGTTTCGTCAGGTTGAGAGCTCTCTGGGACTGAATAGCGGTTTGTTGGATTTGGACTAAAATCTGACTTCATGTCAGATCCCCGAGACACAACAAACTAGCAGTTTTAGCGACCTTGCGTAGCGTCTCGTCAGGTAGGCTAGCCATGGTAGTCGCAATCGCTGAGAACAGTCAGACAGCTAGCGCTGTACAAGACTAGCAGAAAGCGGACTTCAAATTTTTGCCACAATCCTGCATTGGACCGCGCACTTGTGATCACTATATCCAGTCCAACCGCGTCTCTACTCAAGGGTCGCATTAGCTTGCCGACCCCCAAAGCAGCTCATTCTATCCCAAGCGTTGTGCACGTATCTGCACATCTTTTCTAACCCGCGTCCGTTTCTGGAGTCACTGCCGTTCGACTAATACTCTATCATTCACCATGGCTTCATTCGAAGACTACGATGAGTTCGGCAACTACATCGGTGGGGACCTGGAATCAGATGAAGAGGAGGAGAATGTTCCCCAGCAGACTTTCCAGCAACAGCAGCAGACGCCCGCACCGCTAGAGGGGTTCGAGGAGGATGAGCCTATGGAGGCGCCGGCAGAGGACGCACTTATGCAAGTGGACGGTACGTGATGCTAGCTTGACACAACGTGTAAGAACTAAAGTGTCTTTAGAGCCCGTGCATAATGCTGTTATCCTTCACGAGGACAAACAGTACTACCCTTCCGCATCCGAGGTTTATGGTGAGGATGTGGAAGCCATTGTCCAGGAGGAAGATACACAGCCGTTGTCGGAACCCATAATTGCTCCTGTGAAGGTGCGGAAATGGACGGTAGAGGAAAAGGACATGCCGGAGACCCGATTTGATAAAGGGTGAGCAGGTCGTGACCTCGCTAGTAGCACTAATGAATAAACGGGCGAGGAAGGTACTTGCTGAATATGATGGCTTTCTCCGAGTTTGTGAGGAACGTAGCTGTCGTAGGGCACCTGCACCATGGAAAGACGTCTTTGTTGGACATGTTAATCTTCGAAACGCATAAGTTGACATGGGACGCGGATAAGCCGGTTAGTGGTCCTAATTTGCTGGGGTTTATCTTACCTGACCCTGCAGTGGGTAGCTTCGGTATACCGATACCCACCATTTATCACGGGAACGCGAAATATCCATCAAGTCGTCCCCCATGTCCCTCATCCTGTCCAACAGTGCTGGAAAATCACATCTGATTCACCTTATCGACACGCCTGGACACGTCAATTTCGTGGATGAGGTCGCTTCAGCAATCCGCTTAGTCGACGGTATCGTGGTGGTGGTCGACGTGGTCGAGGGGGTAACATCATGCACCTAAAGATGCGTCATCGTATTCTAATGCGCGTCCCTCAGTGCATGGTCAACACAGAACAAATCATACGACATGCCATCCAAGAAAATGTCAAAATCACTCTAGTAGTCAACAAAATTGACAGGCTCATCCTCGAGTTACGGATTCCCCCAGCTGACGCTTTCTACAAAATCAAACACACCATCGAGGAGATTAATACCTTCATCAGGTAAGTACTCATTGCAATACGGACCTTTTGGCTGAATCGCAATCGTTGGAACAGTACCATCAATCCCGACCCCGAGCTCCGGCTCAGCCCCGAAAGGGGAAATGTTGCATTTGCAAGTACAGACTTGCACTGGTGTTTCACGCTGCGATCGTTTGCGCAGATGTATGCAGATGCGTACGGTGTGTATACCTGTGAACTCCCCGACCGACCCATGCTAAACCACATATCAGGCCCTCTGGATGTCCAGTCCTTCGCCGACCGATTATGGGGTGACATCTACTTCAACTCCGAGACTCGCAAATTCACTCGAAAACCATCAGACCCGGAGCACAAGCGTACCTTTGTCCACTTCATCATGGAGCCGCTCTACAAATTATACAGTCAGGTGCTGAGTGAGGATACCGAGACCTTGAAGGAGACTCTGTCCGGATTGGGCATATCGCTCAAGCCGGTGATGTATAAGATGGATGTGCGGCCTCTGCTCAAGGCGATACTGGACCAGTTCTTCGGCCCCGCGGTTGGGCTGGTGGATATGATAGTGGAGAACATCCCCTCCCCTGTGGAAGCCACAGCTACGAAGGTATGATGCACCTCCACCAGCTGTCTACCCTTGCTCATGTCCACGCAGGTCGAGCACACATATACTGGCCCCCAGACATCAGATATCGCCAAAAGCATGAAGGAATGCGACGCCGCAGCACCGGTCATGGTACAAGTAACAAAGCTGTACCATACGACGGATGCGCAATCATTCCGAGCTTTCGGACGTGTCATGAGCGGTACTCTCAAGAAGGGGACAGAAATCAAGGTGCTGGGTGAAGGGTACTCGCCGGAAGACGAGGAAGACATGATGAAGGCTAACGTGGAGGATATCTGGATTAGCGAGTCTCGGTAAGGGCACCCCATTCTTGCCCGGTATAGCGAGCTAAGAGGTACCTAGCTATTTCATTCCGGCCGAAGAAGCACCGGCAGGTAACTTGGTCCTCATCGGTGGAGTGGATGCCTCTATAACCAAGACAGCCACCCTGGCTTCCCCTGACATCGAGGAAGACCTCCACATCTTCCGGCCAATCAAACATATGACGCAATCCGTGTTGAGGATTGCCATCGAGCCTGTTGCGCCATCCGAGCTGCCCAAGATGTTGTCTGGACTTCGGAGTATCAACAAATCCTACCCACTTGCCGCGACCAAGGTGGAGGAAAGCGGGGAGCACGTCTTGATCGGCACGGGCGAGTTGTATCTCGACTGCGTGATGCACGATCTGAGGAGACTGTTCGCGGAGATCGAGATCAAGGTATCCGATCCTGTGACGAAGTTTTGCGAGACAGTCTTGGAGACGAGTGCTCTCAAGTGTTATGCAGATACGCCGAACAAAAAGTGGGTTTTAATCCTTCCCCTTTATTCACAGAAAGATTTGATACGTCGTATATACAGGAACCGTATCACTATGATTGCCGAGCCCTTGGAGAAGGGTATCGCGGAGGATATCGAGAACGGGAAGGTAACGATGAGGATGACTCCCAAGGAGCGGGGCACTTTCTTCCAAGAGAAGTACCAGTGGGATTTGCTTGCCTCACGATCAATATGGGCGTTTGGGCCTGATGACAGTGGCCCGAATATTCTGTTAGATGATACCCTGCCTTCTCAAGTGTGTATTGTGATGTTGGTTCTGTGACCACAGTACTCATCCTTATCCTTGCACTAGGTTGATAAGAAGATGCTGGGTTTAGTGAAGGAGCATATCAAACAGGGCTTCCAATGGGGTGCACGGGAGGGACCATTATGCGATGAGCGCAAGTTATCTTATACTCTCATGCAATCTTTCTTATTGATGGGCCGTGTCTAGCTATGCGGAACGTCAAATTCCGGATACTGGATGCCAGTCTGGCTCAGGAGCCAATATTCCGTGGTGGTGGTCAGATTGTTCCTACGGCTCGGCGTGTCTGCTACTCATCCTTCTTGATGGTGAGTGAGCATCCCATGTATTTCATAAACAGTCCACTAAAGGGTGGGTAGGCTGCCCCGCGGTTGATGGAGCCTATATACTACGTTGAAGTTCAGGCACCTGCGGATTGCATTTCTGCGGTATACACCGTCTTGGCCCGACGACGTGGTCACGTCACGCAGGATATACCAAAAGCTGGTTCACCTCTCTACACAGTCAAGGCTCTCATCCCTGTCATGGACGCGAACGGTTTCGAAACCGATCTGCGGACTGCGACGCAGGGACAGGCCTTCTGCGTGCAGGTGTTTGACCATTGGTCGATTGTCCCCGGTTAGTTTTCCCCATGCTACCGCGAAGCTCTCTGATGATGTCCTGCAGGTGACCCGACTGACAGTAGTATCAAGCTGCGCCCCCTGGAGCCCGCATCAGGTCAGGCCTTGGCAAGGGACTTCGTCCTCAAAACTCGTCGGAGGAAAGGTCTCGGAGACCAGATTGCGGTGTCAAAATACTTGGACGACGAGTTTGTTTTGGCTTTGTCGGCGTCAGGACACGCGGACCTGCTTGGATAGACTATTCGCTATGTTACAACGCTGTGTATTCTACCATTTCTGCTCTTGTATCTCCCTGATTTCCTGAGAGGAGGCCTACGAAAGTGTGACCGGCATACAGGACCCGTGGGAGATGGTAATTGCTAGAAACTCACGTATACGTGGCAGGGCGCTTGCCGAGGAGTTATAGAAGACCGACGTGGCTGAAGCTGTTCCACACTTCATTCGCATCTTGTCCTCTCGTTCCCTTCTCCGTTATTACTTCGTCTCGGTCCTTCGTTAATATGCGAAGAGTAGCGCTCTCTGCTCTCGTCGTCGTAGCCGCCGCTGCGGTCTGCACGGCGGAGGAGACCAAGCCTGTGTTCCAGGTGGGTCTCTATTGCTATGGCGGAGCGAGCGCGTATTCACACGTCAAGACGCGTCTAACAACAGCCTACTGCCCTCGAAGCTCCATTCCTTGAACAGTTTACGGAAGGCTGGGACTCGCGGTGGACACCGTCAGAGGCCACGAAGAAGACACCGGTCGGCAAAGAGACCTTCAGCTACGTCGGGAAATGGGATGTTGAGGAGCCCATTACTCCCGTGATCGAAGGCGACAAGGGCCTCGTAGCTAAGACGAAGGCTGCCCACCACGCCATCTCTGCGCCCTTCCCTGAGCCAGTCGACTTCAGCGAGAAGCCGCTTGTGGTACAATATGAAGTCAAGTACCAGAAGGGTGGGAACTGCGGAGGTGGATACCTCAAGCTCCTCCGAGATGGTTTCCAGACCAGTGGAAAGGAGTTTGACGACAAGACGCCTTGGGTGGTCATGTTTGGGCCTGACTTGACGTGTCCTGGTACTAAGGTACGCGTATCTCTGGGAACGCTTGAGCTCGTGCCATTTACATCCCCCTTACAGTTGCACTTCATCTTCCAACACAAGAACCCCATCACCGGGGAGTACGAAGAGAAGCACCTCAAGAACGCACCCAAGCCCTCCATTGAGAAGCTCACTAACCTTTATACCCTCATTGTTAAGTATGAACACGCTTATCACGCATTGGCCGCAATTTCGCTAATGGATGATGACTGAAGCCCGGATAATACGTACGAGATTCTTTTCAACGGTGACAGCGTTAGCGAGGGCAGCCTCTTGGAGGACTTTACCCCTGCTGTCAACCCTCCCAAGGAGATCGACGATCCTGAGGACAAGAAGCCCGAGGATTGGGTCGACATCAAGAGGATTCCTGACCCCGAGGCCAGGAAGCCTGAGGACTGGGACGAAGATGCACCCTATGAAATCCCCGACGAGGAGGCGGAGAAGCCCGAGGGTTGGTTAGATGATGAGCCCGAGATGATTCCTGACCCTGGTCAGTCCTACCAGCGCGCGCGTCACACCTATCCCTGACGTGCTGCATTAGACTCCGAGAAGCCTGAAGAATGGGACGACGAGGAAGATGGTGAATGGATTCCGCCTATGGTTCGCAATCCCAAGTGCGACGAGGCACCTGGCTGTGGCGAGTGGAAGCGGTAAGCACATGCTGTATCTACCTGGTTCGGTGTCGTAGGTATTAACGTGTCGTACAGTCCTTTCAAGCCTAACCCCAACTACAAGGGCAAGTGGTACGCACCCATGATCGATAACCCTGCATACAAGGGCGAATGGGCCCCTCGTAAGATCCCCAACCCCGACTACTTCGAGGATTTGACTCCTGTCAAGAGCCTCGACAAGATCGTGAGTACAGTTGTCTTCAAAACTTGTGCAATATCTGAGCGATGTTACCCCTCTAGGGCGGCGTCGGTATCGAGCTCTGGACCATGACGGAGGACATCCTCTTCGATAACATCTACGTTGGCCACTCTGTAGAGGATGCCAACAAACTGAAGGCGGAGACGTTCGACATCAAGAAGCCCCTTGAAGTTGCTGAGCAGAAGAAGAACGATCCTCTTGACGATGATGATGAGGAGATCGACTGGAAGGAGGATCCCATTGGGTTTGTCCGCGAGAAGGTTTTCACCTTCATTGACGCGGCCAAAGTGGACCCTGTGCTCGCTTTCAAGTCGCAGCCGGAGACAGGAATCGCCCTCGCTGGCGCTGCTCTCACTTTCTTCGGTATGCTCGGTGCTTTGTTCGGTCTGGTCGGCGCTTCGCAAAAACCAATCACCAAGGTGAGTAAAGCAGCTGGATCGTGATGTCCACCTATGCCTGATACCTTGCCGCGTAGTCCTCGAAAAAGACTGACGCCCCTACACCTGACGACAAGGTCAAGACCGATACTGCTCCTGTAGCGCCCGCGGGCGGCAAGAAGGAGGAGACGACGGTCAAAAAGCGGAAGTAGCTCTGTTTAATGGGTTTCGGGCTGTATGCTATGTTTCACTTAGCTTGTCTACCGCAATGCGATCGCTTTCAATGGCCAACGATGGCATCCCGAGCCGAGGATGGTTGGCTGACTTGCGCGCCGTTGCGATGTATTTTATTGAACCTAGGTTCCGAATGCAATCTTGTGGATTACTCCTTCGGACAAGAAAGGGCGTGTATGGCAGAGCAGAGATATACGATAACATTATGGTAAGCGGTGGCGTTGTGGCTTCTATAGATTCAACTTCAGAGTGTGCACGAAGTCTGTCCAAAATCGTTATGAAGTCCGTTTTACTACGCGCTCAGCCAGCATCTCCAGAGCGACCTTGGCATCGCTGTCAGGCAGAAGACGGAGTACTTCTCTAGCACCGTCGGCATGTGCTTGAGCGAGATCCCGGGTACGCTCCACTCCGGAAGAGCGCCGTACTAGGTCCCGAGCCTTCCATATGCTTTTGTTAGACTGGCGCGGACTGGAATAGTATATAGGGGTACGTACCAGCTCTACATCTCCCTCCTTCTCAAACTTGCGCTCTATGAGGGGGCCCATCTCTGGATGCTCTTCCCATGCGTACAAGGCAGGTCCTGTCGCAAGACCGAGCTGCAGGTCTGCTCCTCCCGGTTTCCCGAGTGTAGCCTCGCCAGCCTCGTAATCTAAAATATCGTCGACGAGCTGGAATGGAGATAAGGCTTTATCTAGATCCCTGGAGGAATGCTGCAAAACTATGACATACCTGGAAGGCGATCCCGAGGTTGCGACCGTAGGCATACGCTACCTCCTTCCAGACGTCGCCGTCTCTGCAGCCACCGAGTACTACTGCAGCTCTCGCGCCCTTCGCCATCAAGCTCGCTGTCTTGAGGTACGACCGCTTCAAGTATATATTCCAGTTCTCCTTGCCGGCCCGCGGTACAGAGGAATCCTTCACGGTCACTATGCCGAGGTCCGAGCGGTGCATCTCTTTCATCTGCAGAATCTCCCCCTCCACTAGGTTTGCAATGACGCTGGCGATGAGCTCAACGACTTCGCTTTCCCCCAATCTGGATAGAGCAGCACTGGCGCGCCCCAGCAAGAAATCGCCGCCCAGGACGGACAGTTTGTTACCGAACGCGGCGGGGGCGGAGGGCGCGCCGCGTCGCAGGTGAGCCTTGTCGATGACATCGTCGTGCAGGAGAGACGCAACATGGATCATTTCAACGATCTGGGCGAGGCGTGTCTGGGTCGGAAGGATGAAGGACGGGGACGAGAGAGTGGGCGGGGACGAGCGGTCGAAGGATGGGGGCTCTGGGGGCTCTATCGGCGGAGGGGTAGGTTGCAGCGCGAACACGGACTCGAAGGAGGAGATGGAGTCCGTCATGTTAGGATTCCAGTCGTTCAGTACGTCGGGACGCGTCAGCGGTCGGTCCAGCTCCTCTGCGCGCCCCCCCGCGCCCTCGCATTCTGCCGCCCATTTCTTCAGCTCCCAGTCGCGGCCTAGGCCATTTGTCGCGCAAGCAAACAGTAGGACAAGGAGCGGTCGCACCTGCTTCGATGGGTGAAGGAAGTAGTACTCAGCAATGTCTGTAAGACCCGGGTGCGAAGACCCTAGTAGATTCAGTAAAGTCTTCCGGAGGTGCGAGAGCTGGGGCGCGACCAGAGCATGGGGGTCGACCCGGGCAGAAGCAGGCTGCTTGCCTGCGCTATGAGAGGGCCGAGGGGACGTCTCCGCAGGTTTTGGTTGTCGTTGGACCTGCGCCGTGTAATGGCGACGCGACCACTGGCACGGTCGCGACGGTCGCGTGACCGTAGGCGCGGTCGTCTGGGATAGGCGCACGGACACCGCCGCCCATTTTCGCATAATACGAGCAGAACGCCGGGAACAGCGTCGACCAGAGTTGGAGCGTGCCCGAGAGCGTCCGGTAAGTCGAAACAGGCGTAGGCTACGTAGTGGATTTCCGGCTTTTTTCCCGAATCGGATCACGTGAGACGGCGCATACACTGCACCCGCTGAGATGCAACGAAATGAAGTTCAAATTGCAATCGTATGTATGGGTGCCGTAAGGTATTGAGGGGTATACTAGACATATGTATAGAACACAAATACTAAAGATACCGAATGACATCGTCGCATGTCAACCTGGGTGTACGCCGCGACATGATGTTGATAATCCAGGTATAACACACTCTCAGCTGGATCATCGACGTGGTTGTTGAGATGCAGTCGGCGAAACAGCTGACGCCAACAGACGACTGCGGTACTTGTTGATGGGGCCTGCCAGGTGGTTCGCCAGTTCCCTACCCTGTTGAGAGGTCACTGATGGTGTGCGACCGTGGCTTAAAGGTGACATACCGTATCCTGCAAGTCCTGCCAATCTACAGAGCTCACGGCGTTCAATGCGATGAGCATTAATGGTTCGGGAGCCTCTGAATCCGTCCGAGGTTGCGGGGTTGCCTCAGATGTCTTCTCTACTGGCATGACCAGTATACGCCCAACCTAGAACCAACACAAAACAAAGTAAACCCCTAGAATGTTGACTTCCCGTGGAATTATGCGTACCTCGGTATCGACCATACTAACCCCCTGCGTTTCCTGCCATACCTCACCGCTCAGGCCCACCACGACCCGCACATGGTCTTTCGCGCTCGAAGGATCACTCGCATAAGATATCAATTGCCCAGACGGCGTCAAGAGCACCGCTGTATGCAGCTCAGGCAAGGACAGCACCTGCGTGAGCACATCGTGCAAAGCCGAGAGGACCAGCATGAAAGTAGAGGAACTCGCCTGTATGTCCGTGACGTGACCTTACTTGCCGGACCGGCTGCTACTGGTGTGGCAATTTGTGACATTCATTGTGGCGAAGGTAGTCAACTCCTGATGATACACCTATGCCTACATACAAGAGTGAACCGAGTCCTTGAGAATATATACTTGTCATAATGTTATTAGGACATCGTTTCACGGCAGAAAGTCCCGAGTATACATCGTGGAGAACTCAAACTCTCGCAGATCGTCAAGGCAAATCAGACAAGGAAAAAAATAGGAAGAAAAGCTGCGTCGTATGTTTCTCAAAATGGAGAAGTGAACAGAACAGCGCACAGCCTAAATCTGTGCCTGAGGTCGGGACGATGCGCATGATTTTCATGTATTTCGTGCTATCTCTTGCCGGTCTGGCTTTGCTATGAAAGAAGTCAGATCACTACCCGCACTACCAAATCTCTGCACTCACCAGATACGCCATCAACTGCTGGTATCCGGGCTGGTTAGCAGGCGACACACCAGGCATCGGCGGCGGCGGCGGCGACATCTGTTGCGGAGGCGGCATACCATATTGTGGCATCGGCGGTGTCGCCGTCTGCTGCGGGGGCTGCTGATTCTGCTGCTGACCCTGCGCTTGCTGGATAAGCGCCAAGATGTTAGGAGGGAGGCTGGCGAGAGACGGCATGCCAGGCGGTCCAGGAGGAGGCGGTTGCGGCGTCGAGTTCTGGGGTGGCATAGGAGGCGGGTACGATCCCGTGTGAGCCGAGGGCGGCGGTAACGAGCCGGGGTACGGCGGATGAGGCTGCTGCTGTAACGCTGAGGGCGGCGGGAAGAAATGATTCGGCGGTCCCGGAGGCATTGGTGGCATATTTGGGATGCCGGGAGGGGGTACGGGGGGAGCAGAGGCTTGAGGGGGGGCAGAAGGAGGCGCCCCACCCTGAGGCTGCTTTAAGGCAGCCAGTAGCTATGACCATCGTCAATCACTGCAACACAATCGTATTACAACCAACTCACCTGCTGGACTTTCCTTGCCTGTTCAAGTCTCTCGTCGACAGGCTGAATTGAGACAAGAAATTAGAGATCTATCCGACGGCCTCAAAGTATGATCTTACTGGTGCAGGGCCACTCGGTCCTCCGTAACTGGGTCCACCGGGGCCGCCACTGTAGTTAGTAGACGGAGGAGGACCGCCAGGACCTCCACGGTAGCCTGAATCTCGGTCATCAAACCGGCTGTTGTACCCTCCTCGTCCTCTGCCCCGCCCGCCTCCACCTCCACCTCCACCACCCCCATACCCATCGTCTCCGTATCGTCTCCCACGATCGCGATCCCTATCAAAGTCACGGTGGTCCCAGTCGTCGCCGCCGTAACCGCCCCGTCCTCGACCACGACCGCGTCCACCTCGACCACGCACGCGCCCGCGAGGGGACGGCTCATCGTATTCACGATCGTACCTCTCGTCTCGCCGAGGATTCGGGCTGGGATTATGCTCGTCAATCAACATCGAGAATGGTCAAGATAGCCACATACCTGCGTTGAGAGTGATCCATCTCCCATCCGAGGGCTATATCCATAACGCCATCCTGTAAACCTTGATGCCTTAGGCGATCATATGCTTCTTCGGCAGCCTAGCGGACATCAGCGTTGAAATTCCGTGCATAAAGCAACGGACGTCATTACCCGGATATCGTAGAACTCTACGTAGCGTTGACTGGATAGATATAGATTCTCAGTACGAACGCTCTGCATATGGTCTGCAAACGTACTCAGGTCGACCACTTTCCGACAGCGTAACGGACTTGACATCTCCAAACTGTTGGAACTTTCTTCTGACCTCATTGTCATCTATCGGTTGTCCCGACATCGAGTTCCGCAAGGTAACCAGAAGCGTCCCTTGCATTTCTTGCTAAATATGCATATCCGAAACCTCAGTACCGGCGCAAGGAGTCATTGAATTTATCTTACTTGACCGCTTTTCTCCTGCTCTTTGCTCGTGTTGTCATCACGAGGTAGTGAGTAATGCACATCAATCTAGTATATTAGAGTGAGAATTGCGTGGGATGTCATGCGTAACCTGAATAAGACATACGGGTCGTCCACTGATTTCTGAGCCTTGTAGTCGCTCTCTGGCACGTTCCGCTGCTCGTAAATCATACTAATGACCGCATAAGCGCTGGATTCAGCACCGTTTCCTATCGATGGTGAACTCACGTAAGTGACAAATACCATGCCGCGGTTTGCTATGAGGTCAAAGAACGTTTTGATGTCACCATGTTCTTCAAAGCGGCGGCGAACATCATTGCTATCCGTTTCGTACTGTATGCGTAGCCATCAGGGAAATGCTCCGAACGGCAAGTTGGACGCTCAGTCTGCCCAACTCAAATCCACTTGCCTTAATGTTACGAATGAAAAGTGTTCGACAAGGACGTTCTCTTTGGATTCGCTCTTCAATTATGGAATCGTGAACCTTGTCATCTCTCTCCCTGCGTTGACGCTTGGGAGGGCGCGATCCATATCCACCGCCACCGCTGCCGCTATAACCTGAGTCGTCTATGGAAGCAGCCCACGTAAGAATCATAACTCAGGAACAAATCTCGATCAAAAGACTCAATGAAGGCACGAGAAAGTCAGGGTCAACCGCAACATAAGGACCATCGCACCAGGATTTCAGGAAGCAGACCGACGAGTACTTTCAGTTATTCACCAGCTCACGCCCCTGCGTTCTTGCTAGCTATGCGGGACGTCCCGAAGCCAGTTCATAATGACCTCTCGCTTCAGTCGCTCAGCTCAGCAGACATAATGGCTCTCGTCGATAAGCAAACGCTTAATCCTGAATTGATTTCCTCGGATGCTGCGGGTCTCAAAATCGCTTGACAAAGTTCCGAGCGAGCGTGCCAAGAATCCAAAACCCTCGTAGGAGGCCTGATATTCAATTCAAGGCTCTAAGCGCACCTTCATTATAATTCCCATATCCTTGATCATAGCCATCTGAGTCAGGCGCGCCTCCGTACTGACCAGATCCTCCATAACCGTTGTTCTGGTAGAGATCTTGACCTTGGCTAGTACCATACTGATTATAACTTGCATTCATGTCGCCTTGCGGAGGGGCTTGATCATAGGGACCAGGAGCGGCGTCAAAATTGTTACTGTAGCCTCCCCCTCCGCCGCCCCCACCCCCGCGACCACGGCCGCGTCCAAACCCTCGGCCTCTGGACGGGCTACCTTGCTCGAAACGATGGGATCTGTCAGGGCCAGGGCCACCAGAAAACCCACCCCTACGGCCTGTGTCGTAGGGACTTCCGTATGGATGGTGTCGATTCATCTAAATTGCTAAACTTCTCTAGGAGTTACGGGCTTATCGACGTCGCAATCAGCACATAAAGTTGTTGTTGCAGGGAGCAGGCCACGAAGTCGCTCGAAGTTGCAGCAATGTCGGACAGCTCACGTCCAACTTCGTTTTCAACGCAGAGAGTAAGGTGCTAGCACGGATAGCTGTCGCAGGAACAGAACGATGTTGGTGGTACCAGTTCAAGCAGGCAGTTTTCAACGTGGGAGCGGTGCGCAAACATACCAGGCGATCCTGGGAAACTGATGGCCGGCCGGAGACGCCCTGACGGCCGAGGCCTGACGCTCTCAGTGATCCTGTACGGGAGGCTGCGTGCACTCCACACCGTCCTCTGACCATCTCGTGCTCCCTGTCGTGAACGATGTCGAAGCAGTTCCAGTTCAAGTTGGTACTTCTCGGTCAGTACATATACTGCTCTACTGCGCTTTCTTCTCTGAACGTGTTGGCTGGACAGGGGAGTCTGCTGTGGGGAAGTCAAGGTACGATTGAGGACAAGCGTCAGCCATGTTCGCGTCTTCAACGGATAATTTGCTAGTTTGGTCCTGAGATTCGTCAAGGATCAGTTTGACGACTATCGGGAGAGTACAATCGGAGGTAAGCATCGAGAACTACCAGTTGGACACGCCGGTGCTGACTGTTCCTGTGATAGCTGCGTTCTTGACCCAGACTGTTACTCTGGAGGACCAGACCACCGTCAAGTTTGAGATATGGTAGCTGTTTCCTAGTGCGTGCTGATGCCATGTCTGACATGTCTGCAGGGATACAGCAGGTCAGGAGCGGTATAAGGTCCGTCACACTTCTCGGTGCCACGGCATGCTCGGTCTCTGACTTCTGCTGTGCAGTCTCTCGCACCAATGTACTACCGCAACGCCAACTGTGCCGTCGTTGTTTACGATATCACCCAATCAACGTCTCTGGACAAGGCCAAGACTTGGATTCGCGAGCTCCAACGGCAGGCAGACCCTAACATCGTCATCGCTCTTTGCGGGAATAAGACCGACTTGGCAGCTCGTCGGCAAGTCTCGCAAGAGGAAGCACAGAAGTACGCTGAGGAGGAGGGTCTGATGTGGGGGGAGACTAGCGCAAAGACCGGCGAGGGTGTTTCAGAGATCTTCACCGCCATCGGCAAGTGGAATGGCATAGTGCACACAGGATGCTCGTAATGACCTCTCCTTGTAGCCAAGAAGCTGCCCTTAACAGCGCCTGCTCCCAAGACTACCGCGCGTGGCGCACCAGGTTCATCAGGTCGTGGCGTTGACCTGAACAAGCAGCCCACAGCTGGTCAGAACGACGCTTGCAACTGCTGAGTGGTCAATTCCTGCTATTATGATCGCTTGGTTACATTCGCCTTACCTCGTTTGCATCTCCTCTGACCTATCGGGTCGTGTCTCTTGTCTCGCTTGTTCTGTTCGTTATGGATCCTCTCATTACCCTGTAGTTTATATGTCGATGCATATACATCCTTCTACTATATACTCTTTGACTCATGGACCACCTCATAGACGTCTGGATGCAAGCCGGGCTACTTGGATGTAAGTACAGGTTCGTCTTCTAATAGAAGTCATTCTAAACAAGAAAGGGGCAAACAAGCAAAGTCCGATCCATGTGTCATGTCAGAATCATAGATAATACATATGGGTTGTGATGAGTACAAAGATAGATCAAAGCAAGATACAACCTAGATGCGAAGAGTCTGCGAACCTCGCCCGCGAGCACATACAAAACAGTGATAGCTTCCGACCCCAAAAAGATGCAAAGAATAGTGATAAATTACCTACTCCTGTAGGTCACCCCTTCAGAACCCAGCTGCCTCCAGCCCCTTGCGTATATCCGCATGGGCCAGCTCGCTCTGCTGCACCTCCTGGCTCTTGAGCCAAAACGTACTATGGTCCTTCCCCGCCGCCTTCTGCAAATTCGTCTCTATGAACCCGAGGATCGCCGCATCCGGCGCAAACGGGTACGGCCGCCCTTGGAACCTAAGCATTGCGCTCACCGTGTCGGCCCACTTCTGGCGCTTGTAAAAGTTGATGAGCGGGCGGTCGAGCGCGGGGCCCTTGAGCGTGTCCGGGTGTTGGTCGCCGATGTGCACGAGATCCGAGAGGTACATGCCCACCCAGGGCACGCACGGCCCGTCGACGGTCTGCAGCACTGCGCGGTACGCGGCGAAGTTGCCCGTCGGCTCGATGACCTTTGTGAGCGCGTCGAGGTGCGAACTCCGGCTGACGTGCGCCATTGTGAGGTGCAGCCGCGAGATGGCCGCGCTGGAGAGCGCGGCGACGAGCGCACTGAATGAGGATAGGTTGTTGAACGTGCGTGATTTCTGTAGGGAGTAAATCATCAATAGCCTCCTCAAGACACACCCGCAAGCACCCACCTCAGCCACCCTAATCCAAAACTCGACCGTATCCGCACGCTTCCCCAGCACGTCCGTGTCCAGTATACTCGTCTTCACCCACGCCGCGAGCTTGTCGTACGTCGCGCAGAACGCATGCAGGTTCTCCACCGTCCGCCCCATCTGTGTCTTCGTCCAGTCGAGGCACTCCTGCGGGCGGATTTTGCTGTACAGGTTGTACTCGAGCACGCACAGCTGCTGCGCGACCTCCGTCGGGTCCATCTTGAGCAGCTCCGTCCGGTGCGAGGACCTGCCGGGCCGCTTCTTGTACCTCGGGAGGGTCGGATTGCTGGTACTGCTCGACGGCGTAGACGCAATCGGTGAAGACTGCAGGGACCATGGATGTCAGAAGTGCCGCATTACCAACGCTAAGCACTCACCAGCCGCTCGAGCGACGCGATCATGAGCTTCGCGGTCGTCGCGAGCGCGGGCGGCTCAACGATGAGCGAGAGGAACTCCTGCAGGCGCGGCACGACATGCGCGTCGTCCGCGGGCATGCGGTGCTCCTCGAGCCAGCGGCCGAGCACCACGAGCACGCGCTTCTGCGTCGGCCGCAGCTTCTTCTCCTTCCACTCTGCGAACTGCGCGTCCGTCAGCCCGAAGGAGCGGTCCATCTGGTAGCGGTCGACGAGCAGGTCGAACACGCGGTCCGCACTCGCGAAGGTGCGGAATGTCATGAGGAAGGTGTTCTGGTAGAGCATGTCTTGGTTTTTTGCTGATGCAGGGTTAGAGTGTGCTGGCTAAACTGTGGAGGGACTCACATATGGGCTCGATGGTGAGGCATTCGACCAATGCCTCCAGAGTCCCCGCGAGCACGCTTCCGTCCGCATTCAGCTTCACATCCTCCTCCTTGTAATCCGGCTTTAGGTACCACGGCATCCGCAGCGCCGCGACCTTCGCATTGTGGTACCTCTGCGCGTCCTCGTCGCCCGTCAGCTGTTTCACCTTGTCCGGGCGACCCTTATGCGGTCTTGCCCCGCCCAACAGCTCCTCCGCCTCGCCTGCGCTGAGGTCGTCCGGCTCCGCAACGTTGCTCCGCTCAACGAGCACCGAGAGGCGCGAGAGCGAGCTGCGGTCGTCGGGGAGCAGCCGCCCGCCCTCGCCCGGCGGCTCCGGCAGCGAGTTGTAGCGCTTCTGATGTTGCGGACAGCGAGCCTTCCTCTTGGACGTCGGCGCGGGCGCGGTTTTGGGCGGGACGGCGGGCGGCTGGGGCATGGGCGTGACGGGTGAGGGCGGGGGGCGCAGGCGGAGGGCGGGCGCGTCGGCCGGGGAGGGGTGCAAGTCGGCATCGGTGAAGTAGGCGGCGTCGGTGGTGGTCGCGGGCGGGGCGCGCAGGGGCGACTGGGGGCTGAAGGTGTGCGAGCGGCTGCCGATGAGCTCGGTCGGGGAAAGGATCTCGATGGCGGGTTCCTATGTACTTTAGCCTCGACTCGGGGGCTTTGGTTAATAGAGTTGAGCGTACCTTCTGGGTCTCGGCTACGGGCACCCACTCGTCAGACTGGCTGTCCGCGTCTGGGGGGTATAATTGGGCAAAGTTGGAGGTGGGCGCGGCGTTGTAGAGGCGCTCGGCTTCGTAGTCGTAGATCCTGAGCTCTTCCCTGAGTCCCCTCAGTCGCTCGGCCATCTCGTCAGTCAGCGGGCGCACGAACGCGCTGGGGACCCAGCCGACCTGGGTGTGGGCGGGGCGCATGGCGGCCCACCAGCCGCTCTCCTCTGTCTTGACGACATCGAGGATCTCGCTCTTGCGGAAGGGGAGATGGTCGGGGTCGTCCGAGTGGAAGTCGTACAGGCACAGGACCGAGAAGATCTTGAATTCCCCGGCTGTGGTGGTGGACTCGTGTGTCGCCAGGGACGTGCCGATGCTCGCTCGGGCGGAGGACGAGGGAGAGAGCGAGCCCGACGAGCTGAGCGACGCGCGGTCGGGGCTGGCGTACGGCGAGGGGTCGATCGACAAGTGCAGCGTGCGCCGCAGAGCCTGTACGCGCTGGCTAGACATGTCTCGACGTCGTCGACGAAACTTTACGAAAGAGAGAGTCGCATTCCTCACTGGCAGTGGCAGCGCAGGCGAAGATGATGTCGGCTGTCCGCTGCGGCGTCGATGATATATCTGCCAGGCACTGGAACGGTCTGCACACGCTCTCCGAGTCATATGGCAACCATCACAGCATACTTGCACGTTATAACGTCCGTCGTGCTACGGCAGTTCTCTTGAGCTTTCCTTTGCTATCGGACATGACGTTCCCAAGGCCTCTCTGCTCCCTTTCGCTCCCGTCTTGGCCTGCTCGGGCATTCTTGGCTGCTCTCATCGGTGAAATCCGCTTGCCGTTTTATCTCCCCTCGTCGTGGTGATCACCGTCTGGGCCCGAATTACAACTCATCGCATTCAACTGCAGGACCGCCGCGATAGTTCTATGAGAGGGGAAGACAGGCATCTTGAAGGCAGTCCAATTTAAACCTTACGGCGTGACTGCATGGCTGGATGCGCATTGAGTGAATCCGCGAGGGCGGTAATAGTATGCTGGTCTCGCCGCTCCGTGGCCCTCAGTACAGTTCGACTGCGAAAGGGATGGTAGGCTGCTGCTGCCGGCGTAATGCTTCGCAGACTCTCAAAACGCCTTCTACTCGCATTCCGACGACGGGGCTGTCAATCATCCTTTATGGGCAAGCCTACGCAACGTCAGCTTACTAGAGCATCTCCGGATGCGTCGATGAGAAAGGCATACATCCACTGCGCGAGTATGTCCAAAGGCACCAGCTAGGGAGTTGTACAACGAATATACGTGTTAGCTGAGGACTGTCAGTTGGTTTGTTCCTGGTCCTCTTCTTCCTGTTGCTCTCGTTCACTACGCTTCGAGATTCAACTTCGACGGTCAAACTCTTGAGTACGTCTTTACGCGAGGTCCATGGTGTGGCCTTGCCGGCTTTGCCATCCCTAGGCATGCGTGTGATGTATAGTTGTAGATGTAGAGACCATATCATAATATAAGGGCAATTCAGTATTGAATCTTTGAAGTTTTGGAGTGGAAATGCGAGACATTGAACTGAGATTCGGAGGTGCCACACCGGCCACAAACCCGCCGCGCCACACCTAGATTGGTAGGACGAACGCGTTCACGCGCGTCTTTCGACGCGTCCTGCTCTTGCACTCCCCCGATCTCTGGCTCCCGAACCTAGGCCACGCGATGAAACCCACAGTACAAGACGAAGTGGAGGATGACTTGGCAGCTGAGGAGGAGAACAAAATCATTAACGAGGTGGGTTCGGGACTGTGATTCGTCTTCCGAGCTAGTATTCATCCTACGATTGCGCGCAGGAGTACAAAACATGGTTCGTGAAATTCCTGTGCAACGCCGAGCTGTATTGACGCGAATTGCTATCCTCACAAAGGAAGAAGAACGCGCCCTACTTGTACGACATGGTTATTACGCACGCCCTCGACTGGCCCAGCTTAACCTGCCAATGGTTCCCCGACAAAGAAGCGTACGTCCCCCGCTTTCCCCCTTCCATCTCTCCACCTCACACCCGCTTAGAAACGCCGACAAACCCTACACGACCCATCGCCTTTTGCTCGGCACGCACACCTCAGGTCAGGCGCAGGACTACCTCCAAATCGCGACCGTGCAGCTCCCCAACCCGACGCACCCGTCGCACCTGCTCGATCGCGCCGCATACGACGACGAGCGCGGCGAGCTCGGTGGACACACGCTGCCCCCGCAACCGCGCATCCAGCTCATCCAGCGCATCAACCATGCGGGCGAGGTCAACCGCGCGCGCTACATGCCGCAGAACCCGGACATCATCGCGACCAAGGCTGTCAGCGGCGAGGTGCTCGTGTTTGACAGGACAAAGCATAGTAGCGAGCCCGAGCGCGGTGGGGTGTGTAAGCCCGATATGCGCCTGGTGGGCCAGACAAGGGAGGGGTGAGTGAGGTGATCCCCTGTAATCTGGGCGAGGCTGATGGGTGCTGGAGTGCTGCAGATATGGGCTTGCTTGGAATCATAATAAGAAGGGGCACGTCCTCGGGGCTTCGGAGGACATGACCGTATGCCACTGGTGCGCCGCAATCTTCCCACTAACAGCTGGGAGATGCTGAGGCATTTTTAGGGACCTCAATGCTTATCAGAAGTCGAATCCACAGATCGAGCCTTTGGCCGTGTACAAAGGCCACACATCTATCGTCGGTGTACGTGACCATGCTTTCATGCGTCTTCTCCCCATTTCCTTACTCTCCCCAGGACGTGGACTGGCACGCGTCACAGGAGAACGTGTTCGCAAGTGTCGGCGATGATAAGATGCTAATGCTGTGGGTTTCTTCCGCGTTTGGTTCCCTTACCAGTTTGTAACCCTCTTGCACATCAGCTGGGACACCCGAACACCGACTGAGCCAACTTTGAAGACACAGGCCCACGATCGAGAAGTACTATGTGTCGCATGGAGCCCAGCCAGCGACTATATGCTGCTCACCGGTAGCGCCGACAAGGTCTTGCGCCGCCACACTTCCCCCGCGGAGTTCGACTCATATTTATTATCACATTTAGACCATCATCCTCCATGACACTCGCTCACCAACAAAGCGATTGCACGTATTCGAGTCTCATACCGACGAAGTCCTGCACGTGTCCTGGTCACCACACAACCCCACCATCTTCGCCTCCGCCTCGAGTGACAGGCGGATCAACATCTGGGACCTGAACGAGATCGGCGTCGAGCAGACGCCAGATGACCAGGAGGACGGCCCTCCGGAGCTGATGTTTGTACACGGCGGTACGTCACAATTTCCCTGTATCCCATCTCTAATACTCAAAGCACCTTATCTCAGGTCATACGGCCCGGCCTACGGATTTCTGTTGGGCGCCCGGGATTGGCGAGAACTGGACCGCGGCGAGCACGTCAGAGGACAACGTCGTCATGGTATGGCAGCCCACGATGCGCATATGGGCGGGCGACGCCGTAAAGGTGGACGAGAAGGAGCTCGAGAGCGATGCCATGGAAGGTGTAGAGGCGACCGAGCCAACCGCGAGCGGGAGTGGAAGTGGGGGAAACAGAGGGACGAAAAGTATGAGTATCAGCGCAAGTGCGAGTGCGGCGGGGGATGAGGAGAGCTGAGTCCGACCGACGCTATGCATAGGTGTTGTTTTGATGCTGTCATATCTAAAGCGTTGTTTGACTGAGGGTTTAGAGAGAGCAATATTCCCAATTTGAATGATGCAGGTGTACAATATGTGCATGACAAACCAAGTGCAGTGCAGACCGATTCGCCCCCCTCCAATACTTCCTGTCCTACTCGCCCATGCATCCCCCTCCCCGAAAGTGGATCATGCGAATATCAGTCTGAGCAGTTCGAATATCACTGCATGCACGTTTATAAGTACGCCATCTTATCGTCAAAGTAGATGCACGTACCTCCGCCGACGATAACAAATATAATGATGCCCAGAGTCCATAGGCTGACAGGGCTGCGCTTGGATAGCAGCTCCTGGCGGGAGGGGTTCGTTGGCTTCTTGCCCGCACGCGCTGCATTCGCGAACTTGGCGTTCTTTTGGCGTCGCTCGAATTCGGTGGGCTGGTAGCTCTATAGTTAGCAGCATAACTAGTCATTATCTGACACTACACACCATAACTTATAGGATATGAAGGAGCGGACAGGTAAGTGGGTATGTGCAGCGGAGGCGTAAGCAGCAGCCGTAATTACTGTTTCGATCGAAACGCGACGCGACGTGTCAGTGTTTGGCGCTGTGTAGCAAGACCTTCCGTTTTCAACAAGACCAAATATACGTGGGTATTCCCCTTTATTCCTCCTTCCCGTCACGTACGCGTTCGTCACGGATGAGGTGTGAGGATTAGTTTTCAAGACACGAGGGTCAGATGTCATGCAAGATATCACAATACAAGAGGCCCTAGCCGCTGGATAGAGCATATGTTTAGCTTTGATCCATAACATCGTCTTCGCCACCAATCTCTTCAAACATGAGAGATCCCTGCTGGTCCTTCAGCCACTTCACGCTCCGCTTCTCGTCCATGAAGTAAGTGTAACCCCGTCGCAGGTCCTCGACGTCCACCTGCTCGGCCTTGCGTTTCCGCGCAAGCACCTGAGCACAGGAAATCAGGTTCAACGCGTATCGCAGCGTGGTATCCATGGCCATCCGGGTCAGAACGGTCGTAGCATCTTGGGTTAATGTAACATCTTCTTCTTGGCATCTGCAGAGCATGTGTCAGTGAAGTGGTCAGAGGTATGTTATTCTCCACCGACCGGATGTGGATGATTTGCTGAATATCTTCCTCTGTGTAAGGCTTTGTGCTGACGATAAGCACTCGGTCTAGAAGATCCACGGGTAGACCGTGGGGGCTACGGAATTTTGTCCCTCGTATCCGAGCCATTCCACGGTTCGACGCCATAACAACGAGCGGAGACAAATCGTTCTCAAGCGCTCGGTTGAGGAATGAGAAGCATTCGATATCGAGCATGTGAACTTCGTCAATGAAGAGCACCTAAACGTGAATAGGACTGTCAGAATGATGCAGACACGTAGGTGGTATCCAAAAAATAAGCATACCCCCGGGATAATCTCAGCCTTTCCCTCTTCTCGCCATTCTTGCACCTTCGTATTGATCTGGGCACGGAGCTCCGGCTTGATCTCTCCTGTGTCGCCCGCAAACAAAGCAAGGAAGCCTTGCGTCCGGCTGTTGATCACATCGATTTCATGTAATGAGACTGTGTGCACGACTTCCTTGCGCTTTTGGATCTCGCCTTCCGGACATTGTACAAATTTTGTCTTCGTTGACATAAATGCAAGGAAAAGTAGTAGACACGCCAGTAAACACTCACGTCGGCTCCCATTGCATCATAGTCTCTTGAACGTGCGAATGAACGGCCAAGTTTCGAAATTTTGCCTGACGTCTTGTCGATGGCAATGACGTCCCCCGCAAGGACCTTTTCCTTCGACAATGCATCAATCATTTTAGTACCGAGGTCGTAGATAGTCTCCATATCTGTCGTCTTGATAGTAAGCTTCCCGGTTTTGGTGGCCTGTTACGGTCCGAGGTGAGCACTGTAGAAATACTCTGCAGGAGACATAACGCGTACCCCAGTCAGACTTCTGTCAATCTGGATTTCCACAACTTCTCCCTCGATGATCTCCGTCTCCTCCTTGATACGCACACCAATGCTCCTCCTCAGTGCTTGCGTAAGAGCCTCCGTCTTGGACATCGACAGCGAGAACACCTCACTCGCCGCAATCATCGTAAACGGCACGTCCGAGCCTAGCGTCTGCGCCATCCCTGTACGGAGTCACCTGTATCGCATTAGCAGACCAAGACGCCTCCCCTCACGTAACATACCTAAAGCAATAGCAGTCTTCCCAGTTGACGGCGGTCCTGCGAACAACATGGCTCTCCCCGCTATCCGCCCCTCCTGCACCATTTTGAGGATCATCCCCGCTGCCTTGCGCGCTTTCGCTTGGCCAACCATGCCTTGGGAGTTGTCGCGAGGCTCGAGTCTGTCATCGAGCCCCAGGCCGCGGATGTGCGAGTGAGCGCCTGCGGTTGGACGCGAACGAATATGAGGAGGGTGTTACCTTGAACAAACCTTGAACTCACCTATCCGCTCCATTTTCGTTATGTCCCGGAGCTCGGACGCGCCTGCTGTAATGGAAGTGGCCTGGATCCACAGAGTATTCAATGAGGAATCTTTGTCTTCGACACAGAGTCGGAAGGGCATACCATGGTGGTGTCTACGAAGAAACGCGTATGTATCTTGATCGGACAGTCTCGCTTGAGCACCTACCTTACCGTGGGATACCGAAGTTCCCACGCTCTTGAAGATCAAGGGTTCTCAGCCACACTCGCGTCACTGTCTCTCGCGTCGCCCTGTATATTTTGAGGCTCTGTTATAGCAGGCAACACCAATAGTCATGCAAGCGTCATCTGAATCAACTATATCTTTATAAAAGGCCAGGTATACTGGGTCTTCCCTCCTACTCCAAGCCGAGCGGGGCATACTCATGCATCACGACTGAGATACAGCATAACTTCGCATGAAGGACTGTCCGATGCGCCATCCCTGCAAAAAAAAATAGGCGGAAGGCTCTGGACGTCACCGAGATATGTATCACGACGGATCACCCTCTGCCTTACCGTCGTCACTCGGTGCCACAAAAGGCTTTCAAAGAAGTTACCCAATAGTCGAGCTCTCGGCGCGGGTGATCGCGCAAAGAAATCAGCGCGCCAAGTAATTCGTTGGGCAGGCGACCGGGGGTAGTGTAGCGCAAGCAGTTGGGCGTCCTTACCTCCCATCATGGAGCCATGCACGTCAGAGACCAACGAACACAATCCCTGAAGGGAAGTAAGGGAGCACAACCAAGGGCGGGGAAATGCGTTGGAGCAGAGTGTGCCTGGAGGAAGGGAAAGGACGCGACGCGGCAACTCGCTCGACTTTCGCGATGTCGCAAGCCTAGACAAGGGGAAAGGGGAGCGAGAACGCCGGGCGGCATCGGCATCGAAAACATTTACTACGCGGGGAGCCTCGCAGACGACCTTGTATGCCAGAAGAGAGCGAGGCTAAGCGCGTGCCCAGACATCGTCATATAAGAGCCCGGTTCTTGGATAGGGAGGAGCGCCAGCGATATTCTGATGCACCTTCTAGTCGCGAGTCGACTCAGACACTGCACACGAATATCGAGAGCGCTCGTCCGTGGGACTGGGAGACTATCGCCGGAAATATCGTGGTCCTGTCCGTGCGCGTTTCCACCACGCAAGGTACCCCCTGACCTCGTCACAAATTGTTGTGGAACGGGGCTGCGGAAGATACCCGTACCGTCATGCACACCTATGACTCTGTCGTGGCTAAAGCCGTGTATGTTCCGCCAGCCGCGGAAAAGAGTATATGATACTGAACCACGAAAAAATGAGACGGTGAGCGCACCCCCGTATGGAGCTGTCCCAGTCCATCCAATGATGTATTGGGACAACATGCGGGAGGACGAGACCGACCGGAAACCAAGGAAAGTAGAGTGATCGCATACGACCAGGCGATATGTAGCCCCACAATCCAAGTCATCCACGGGTTTTTTCAAAGTCTCTAGGGACTCAATCAATCTACCCGGGGAAGGCAGAAGACTTCGACCTGACGTAATGCCCATGGCCACTTCAAGCCCCGTAGGACCAGATACAATGGCGAGACGCATTCGCAAGCTCCCCTCCGCGCCGAGTCACTTACTGAGGGACCGCCGTCAGCAGACGTATCGGCGCTCTTGAGGCCCCGTTAGGATGCGGGACATTCCTAATATGAAAGACAAGGCCTACGTTACTAACGTTAGTCCTGGGAGATTTAGGTAATAAAAAACATACCGCCTCCGCCCCGAGGAAATTTTGAATGCACCTTGTGCCCCTCGGCGTATCCGAGCAAGGAGAGACCGCCCCTAGCATACCTGAAACGTTGCGTTGACCCTTCCGCGCTCGAGAGTTTGAGATCACCCGACGTCGGACGATGGGGTTTCTGACAGGGAGAGAATGACGGATTATGACCTGCCATTGCCAATTGTCCGCGCTTTATAGTATCGTGCAGCTCGGATGTTCTTGTAACTCCTGCATTGTTCGACATAAACGAACCTGCTTCCAGCAGCCAGTTGAAAACAAAGAAGACAAAGACAGCCGCCGGCCCGGCCCGCCGGGGGTATCAGGGTCTCTCCGGAAGGGGGAAACGCGCTCCCTGAGACGGCGGGCTCGTTTGAACTGCTGTTCGATACATTCTGACAGTGACAGCTTCAAGACGATTCTCGATCACGACCCTGCAGCTTAAATCCAATGATATGGCCTCGGGTCCGCGCTTTTTGCTGTTCTCTCCGCCGACGAGCCCGGAAGTAAATGGGAAGACGGCAGTCGTGATGCCATAGGAGAAACACGTACGCGCGCTGGGGCGGATGACTGCGATGGCAGGCAGCGTACGTCAAGCGGACAGCCAGCTTGTGCTCAATTGGGAGCATCGATGGCGGGAGAGAAGCGCGGCGACCTTGCGCGTCTTGCTCTCTTTGCCTTTGTAAATCCGAGTCCGACCAGCCCGCCAACGACTCGGCGGGGCTGCCTCTGCGATCGGGATCGCTTCAGCGATGCAAAATGAAATGGACTTCTCTATGGAATTACTGCAGGAGAACACACGTCATGTCATTGAGGGGTTCCTATTTCACTGGCAAGTACCGCCCCGTTAGTTATATAAGACCCTCGCCGCCGTCGAGGCGTCCCGTGTGGACGCCGTCCCATCCTCCTCCTCCCTCCCGCCCTCAGTTCGATCCCCCCCGCAGCCGCCTCTTGTCCCAAAATGCACGCCTCTGCCCAAGTCCCCACATCCGCCCTCCTGCACACCGCCGTCGCTCTCCTATCGCCCTGCTTCTCGTCCGTACATGTCCTTTCCGCTCGCCTTCCTTGCGAGATTGTCCACGAAATACACCAGTCTCTCCTGTCCTCGGTAGTCGCCTCTCTAGCCGAGTCCACCGACACTTTCCTCAAAGATTACGAGGCTCGCGTTAGAGCGAGTCTTTGCCAGGATTGCAGGGATTACAACGAGCTCATCTTCGGGCCCGATGTCTGGGCTTGGGAGGGATACAAGGGAGCGTGTTACTGCCGGGATGGCGCAGGAAGAGTTAAGCGGTCTTCGCCCTGGAGCGTTACAGAGCTCTTCAGACAACTCTTGGGCAAGGCGGTACTCCAGCCTGTGGCCAAGAAGTCGATCGCCCAGGCCCCAGTACCCGCATTCCCGAGCAAGGAGGCCTGGCTCGTCGACCATCTCAGCGGGCATGAACTCTGCCGCGGGGTTTCTTCTGTCTTCGACGCGGTTGACCTGGCGTTGGAATGCTATGGCTGCAGTACCTTGCCTCTGTCGTCCGCCCTCTGCATTCGTAGTACGACAGCTATCGTCCCGACGTCCGAGTATCAGCATAGGGACGAATGGGAAGCTAAATGCGCCGTGAAAAGAGTCGTCAACGATTTAATGCTTTCAAATTCACAATGCACCTGGAGTGGTAGGTGGCTGTATTTTCGTTAGCTCAGTTCAGGCGACTCATTGATATCCGCAGGTCGGTCTTCTACCTCTATGGCAGCGTGCGGCGGTTTCCCGTTCGCGCGCAAACCATCCGCCGCTGTAGTGCTTCAAGCACCCAGAACCGTCTTCGTCGGCTCCCCGTTCAGCGCTGGTGGGATGCACGGCGCAGCCGTCGGACCGATCCACTATGTCGTTCAGGCGAAGCGGATGGCCCCGGTATTCTTTATGACCCTCTTGGCGCTCTTTATTGTGCTGGGTTTGCTGAGTGTATGCGCCTGAATAATGGCTACACGAGAGACACGCGAAGGTCCAGTGAGTGTCTCTGACAAGGAAAGATGTGGTGCGAGAGGCTGATGATGGGCGTTGTTATATAGATTAGACAGAAGAAGAACCGACATTGTTACGACACGATGTATAGACATGCACGATCTACGCCACGAATACGAATCATACTTACCGCTCAGAGTCGCTTGCATTTCGCGCACATCGATATCTTACTCCTTGGTGCTTCTTAATCACCGTCTTCCTTCATGCTATAGAAGGATGGCTCTAATGGACCGTTCCCGTTCCCTCTTGTTGATATTTGGATCGGATTGTGTATACATGCTAGGATGTGGAGGAGGTTCCCTTGTCATTCTCCCGACGCTGTGATCTGCTATCATCTACGGTATTCCCGCTCCCTGATGTCTCCGTTCATTTTATGACGTTCCTTGCTTAGTTGTTTCCTTTGTTTCTCCCTCTTTATACACTATACCTTCTCTTATAATGTTGCTTACCATATCGTACCGAATGATCAAGGTAATTCAAAATCCGAGTGCGCATTGCTTTGGTCGGAATTTGCGGGCAGCTCGCCTGCTGTCTCTTTCCACCGACCAGACACCATTGGGTGTCACTTCGATGCAGAGAGAGGGCAGCGCGATTGCTCTAGTTGGTAGTGGGAGGCCGACGGGATCGGTGAGCGCTTTCAGTGTGCTGCTGAGAAGGCGAAGCTGACCGCCACTCCTTCCTCGATTCTCGGCGGAAGCGGTGGTCGTTCCTTTGTCCGGAATCGGTCCCTTCTTCACTCTAAGTCTCCCCCGCCCCCGATCCTCGAAGTGGGCACGCGCGGCGAGGGAGTGAGTATGACATATGTGCCTCTATACCTCTTACGAAGGCTCTGGTGTAGCTTTAGGTATTTTGCCGAAAAGGCGTGCGCGTCATCCCTGTACTCTGTATGCTCCCTACTCTGACGCTGTGCGTCGGCGGGAGGTGGCATAGAGACTGGCGGGGCAGAGGCTCGTCTGCCCAGCAAAAGCTAGCAAGTCTGCTACACACGTCCGGGGAGAATGAAGGCACTGTCATCAACGGACTTTCAAAGCACAATGGGCCCTCGGGGTTGACACAGCTTGTGAGCTTCCTTTGGTGCGCATTCCCTTTGTTCTTTTGGTTGGTATTTTTGTTGTGACCGTCCTGTCTTATGGGTAGCGGTGGATCTGCGCTACGCATCTCCATGAATGGATAAGAGCGAAGGTAGGCTATATTATCCAAGCAAGTGCCACCTCTGTGGCATCGTCCACTCACCAGCTAAGCGCTGAGCGCTCCCTGGGACACGCTTCGTCCGTGTGGCACCTGTGCACGCGCCTGCCATCCCACACGACCACTTGTGAGGCGGAGCCGGCAAATCTTTCCCTGTGGCCACCTAAGGGACGAGCAGGGGTTCCGAGAACATGGAAGATTTTCGCTTTATGCTGGGGAGCCTACCGTCCCTTGCTGCCCTGGTGGCATACAAGTCTGCTGTGAGTGTATGACGCAGACGCTCATCCCGGTGGCTGATCCCGGTTGTCAGTTGTTCCCGGACAGCCTCTTTGAAGAGTGGGATCGCGTTGAGATGGGTGCGGTAGACGAGTGGGCAAAGCCCCGGTCCCTCCTGCTCTTTCTCTCGTTGTCGGGTGACGGACTACCGTTCTACAGGACTGTTGAGGATGTGGAAGTCATTCCGGTCGGACAAATCTTGTGCTATAAGGACTTCGTAAGTGTCATGGTCCTGTAACGCGGGTGCTCCCGACAGATTTTCGTTCCAGCTGCTTTGTGACCACCTGTACATGCATCCCGCCTTCGCAGTCGAGGCTGCCCACAAGTGGCTGAACATGAGACATTTCAAGGCGTGGCTGGCGTCCGAGTATTGCTCACCGGAGATCAAACAAAACCAGCTCTTCTTCAATTATCCGCTATCACGGGTCTGGCGTACGATGAACGAGGAACGTACGTGCCCTGACACGTGGAGGTTCGAGACCTTGCAGTGGGAGAAATACCCGAAGGTGATGGAGGCGAAGGCGGGGAACGTCGGCGGGGTCCACTACCAGGATCTGCGCACGGCGCTCAGTCGCATGCGGATGGCCCAGAAAGCTGCTGGGGCTGCCAGCATATAATTTCTTTCATCGAGCTCGGAGCGTTGCCATGGGCTTGTGGCGTTGACGAGACAGTGCTTCTGTGGGGTCGTTGTATTAACTAAGTCCTGCCATGTATTTTACACACGCCCTGCGCGTGCAGCGAGAATGCTCGAGGCGATAGCGTAGTATGATGAAGCTGTGCGCAGGCGCCGTTGGCTTTGTGGCGTTCGACCATCTGCCTGGCGGACAATCGGTACGTCTTATCCAGAACGACGGACGAGACTGCTTGAGCTTGAGGCGGCGTGAGGACAGTAGCCACTGCTTTGAGGGCCAAAAGTAAAATGTCCCATCGCGCTTTATGGCGCGGACACAAGGTACAATTCTTTCTAGCAGTGCTTAACACTGTGGCTGTGCGTTCACGAAGCCACACGAACCATGCGACTGGGGAAACCATAGTCTGGTACGCGGCACGCCTGCAAAGCGCTCCAAAGCCACAGGACACTTCGCAAGACTGACCACGCCACCGAATAGGTACATGCTGTGGCAAGGGCTTGACACCCCGTTGCAGTGCGCAAAGTTGATGTGGCGGCAGGCGTCAGTGTGGCGGGAGTGCTTGGTGAAGAGTGTGGCAAGGGTTTCATAATATAAAGCCCTGACTCCAGCTCATCGTCGTCCTATTCTCCCTTTCCACGTTTGCCTTGCACGAGGAACAGAGATGCTGTCAGAATTGCAGGACTCGGATATCTTCGACGTCGAGAACATGACAGACACTGAAATATGGGGTCTTGATCAAGTCGATGACTACATATACTCGGTGAGCATCTGAACCGTCTCGTACTGGGACCTTCGAACGGCTGATGAACTCCGACAGCTGTTTCCGAGACGTTTGCTGGATGAAATCCAAAGCATGGGTGAAGGAAACGGTCGCGGAAGGCATCCTGTCGATCTAGAGGTCGCCCGAGGATGGTTGAAACACGACTCCTTCATTCTTTTCCTGCGCATGACGGGAGACGAATCTTCAAGTGATTCGCAGCAGGGAATTTCCTTCGGCCAGATGCTTTGCTACAAGGCGTTCGTGAGTGCATGCCAACTTCTTCAAATCACTGGAAATTATCCAAACGCACGCGCAGCTGCTTCCCGATTACCTATACTCGCATCCCGCATTTGCTGTCAGTAGGGCGGACAAATGGATGCACATCGCCCATTTCGAAGCGTGGCTTACGTCGCAGTACTGCTCAGAGGATGTCAGAGGAAATCGGTTGTTCTTCTGCGAAGAGATCTTGCGCCTCGCACCCAGCGCAACACTGACTCCACCTCCTACCCCACACGACAGGCCATTGGGTATATGGCAGGCCCAACAGAGGACACTCACATTCACGAGGGTGGAAGATATGCAGCGGATTGAAGGTCGCTTGGAAGCCAATAGGCATTCACAGGAAAATCTCACCTACGAGGATGTCCTCACGGACCAGAGATGTAGTAAATTCCAGCAGAACACCGTCGTCTAACAGGCTGCGTAGTTCGATCTTTCATGTTGTGGATGGACACATGTAGACTGCGGAGCCATCGGTGTATCTTTTCTCATTAGGTATCATGTCTCTATGTTCGCGTCCTTGTCATCCAACGATCTTTCAACGACTCCATGAGAGCACCTGCCTTGAGGACAAAGAATTCCCCGTGATGACGGAATTTGGAGGTCCTTGATTTGGTTGATCACGGATGATTGATGTGTTCACTAGAAACATTGCCCGTAAATGTGGTGGTTGAAGCTAGCTATCAAATTTTGATATGTAACTTCGACAGGGAAGTGGCGACCTACGTCTGCGATCTGCTTCTCATCATAAGGATCCCATTTGTTGGTATGTCCTGGGGGTGTTGAACTATAGAAATTAAGCGGCATGGTATCAGCGACAAACTTGGTTGCCGCACGGTATCGTCTGGGTATCAATACGCACTTGCGGTGTGTATGGTGAGCATCTGCCGTGATATCATGAATTGAAAGGACATAGATCGGCAACTATCACGCATGCCGCGGTATTCATGGATGATGAGATCCATCGTGGGATGCCAGGTCCGCCATCCTGTTCCTTGAGCTTATATGATTTGTGGAAGGTAATACAAGAAATACAACCGATCACCGGGAAAGTGTTCGGCACCGAGAGGGGTGAGACATGATTGAGTCTTTAGGATGAGCAGTCCCACCGAACGTCGACTGGACTAGCTAGCTCTAAGCACAGCGACAGTCGAACATATCTCCGACTTGGTCGTCCAGGGCCTGGGAATCATCGCCCTGGATATGATTCCCACACAGATTAGCCACCGTGTCTTTGCTATACCTTGTCGAGACATCCTTGGATTGTCTGCGAGATGGATAGGCTATGTATGGGGTTGAACCTTCCTTCAAGACAGCGGGCAAGATCGAGTGACACTTGTCGCGTCGGCGAGGATAATTACGACGCTCCGCTGGGGCTTAGACCAATGAAACGTCCGCGCACACTTGAGTGGACCAATGCGGGGTAGTACTCTTCTGCAACACGAAGTCGGTGGAGGAAGAAGTAGCGACCTGGGCAGCGTTCGACAGCATATACACGTTTGCGGCTTCTTCTTATGCCAGTCACGAATTAAGTCCATCCGAGATTCGGGCTTATTGCTCTCAAACTCCCGCAAAATTAGACGAGGGTTCCATGTGGGAATATCGAGAAAGTGAGACGGGTACTACATATCATGATGACTGGCATACCTTCACAGCCTTTGATGACGGTGGAGACGGTATCTTCGCTCGCTGCAATACCCTCGGATGTACAATCCTAACTGGATGTGAACGACACATAGTCTTCCGGCGCACTCGCGAGAGCCGACGCAGCGGATGACTTGCCTTCCCTCTTCGTCCCGGTTCCCGCTTAATTTTTGGCCTTAACGTGGCCCTGGGAAGAATAGCAAGAGACTGGAATACTTACGCTGGAGTTAGAGGTATAGAAGATACCGAGAGCAAACCGGATGAAGAGCTAGCCAGCTTTGCAAAGGGGTAATTCCGGAGTGGAGCCGTAAACTCTGTGTCCGGAGGGATTTAGAACAAACGGATATGCATCCCAGATTTTGCGTCCATCGCAGCTGTGAGTTAACATATTGCGCATGTCATGCACCAACATCTATTGAGGACAAATCAATCTGTACGGCGAAGGAGATATGAATTGAAGATACACGCGCGATGAGCATCCTGCGGGTGGTCAATATCTGCAGGTTCGAATCAAAGTGTAGGCAATACACACCCATTCCGTGTACTCAAGTGGTATGATACGATCAGCGTCTAAGGAAGCTATGGAAGGAGAGGGAATACATTCCTGGGCCATTGCCGTCACTCGGCGGCTCGCTTCGGCTCGACTCGCCCCCCCAGCTGGCGGGCCCATATACATTTACAGGCGCTGGCCGGGCTAGATAATCGGGAGGAACAGCTGTGGTGAACCAACGGCCAGAGAATTGGGCCCTTGTTGGGAGCTTCCAATGAGTGAAGCGGTCGAGGGAATTGCTAAGGTCCAAGACAAGGTAATATCCACCGGCGTCAAGGAGCTTTGAATGAACGGGCTGCATCCCTTCTCGATCTCTGCTAGAACGGCGCAAGTAGTCGCCACTGAGGATTGCACAGATATCGAGTATAGCATGAAGGGAAACGCAGGGAGTAACGCTCGCGGAACCATCGCGGAGGGGGGACAGCGCAGAGGCAGAGTGAGCAGCAAGCTATCTGCAATCTCTGGTGGGATAGGTGCGGTATGCCTAGTGTTATCCGTATTGGGCTTCTTGCAAGCTTGTCTGGGCGGGAATGTCCGGATCACTTGCATAGTGATTCCGCCAATGGGTATTGTCTGATCCCAGAGAACAGCGTGCAGAATATCCACCGTGCATTGGCTGCGTCTGAACCTCCGGATTCCGATTCCTCTAGAATCGGTTTACTGTTCAGTAGTTGTATAGGGCTCTCTGGTGATCGAGAAAGCGAGCGCTTAACAGGGGTTATACCACTTACAGCCCAAATTACTCGAAATGTAATAGGAGCACTGCTCATAAATGGTAGGTGGCCCGATCCAAATCTTACCGCCACCAACAAATAGGAACTATTACAGTGCCTTGCATAAGAAACTGAACATCGCATTTCCGCGCGCGTTGTTTGTTCGCGCCAAATATACCCTTTTCGGGTAGGTCCGGAAGGCCTCTCGCGGGACCATTTGTTAGGCAGGGACTCGCAGATGCCCCGAGAGGGCTCGAAAGGCTTCAGAGAATGATAGAAATGTATATTCTACAACTACACTAAGGGCTGTAAATCATTATAGTCTTGCCCTAGCTGTATGCCCAGCTAACCCTCCCTCTCGATGGGTCTTTGCCGCACATTTGCCGATACCGAAAAGGTATATTGGCGCGGACAAACAACGCGCGCGGAAATGCGATGTTC